AGGTAAGGCCTCGGGTTACTGTACACGCGTAAAGGCTTTCACATCTTAAAAAAATGCAACAACAACAAAAACCGGCGCTCACTCTTATTCCCGTTCGCGTTCGACGTTGCAACTCTTTGAGCCTCTCAAGCTGCTTGAGCGTTTTTCTTCTCTCTTTCTCGTTTTCAAAATAGTCAAGGAAGCTAAAAAAATCTTGTTGCAGTAAAGAGGAACTTCCTAGCCCACTATATTTGCCACGTGGGGTCCAGAGGAGCAACTTCCCTAGTTATATATAACGACCCTCTCTCGTTTGAACGAACAAAATCAATCCTTTTTGTCAAACAGAAAGCATTTTTGCTATCGTCCGTATCCATTTTTGAAGAGCGAGCATGAGTGACATTTTTGATGACGAAACGATGACTTTTTTATGACAACCATCCTGTCGGCCACTCGTTTGTTCTCGTCAACTCAACACAGGGAGAAACATTGCCTCGTCAAATCAACCCAAGAAATCGATCTCATAAAAACTTGTCCCGTCAGATGTCAACACTCAAATAGTAAATACTTACTACAAATGCATTGTCGTCCCTGTCTGGAGGGACTCGTATTACAAGAAGTATTGTTCTTGGCGCACTTCCGTGGGGGGGGACGAAGATGTCGAACAAGATGAAGGGAAACATTTACTTGAAGGCGTGAGGAATCAGGGATCGTCCACAGGCTTATGGCACATGGGTACATTGTTAAAACCTTCCACGGTACAGCTCACCGAAGTGCAGACACAACACTTTGTCTTTCTTGAAAAAGAGCGTCTCATACTCGTTGTCGGTCATTTTTTCCTCCATTGCTGGCGTCACCTCTCGCAATCTCATTCGCGTCCCACTACAGCTCACCTCTTCATTTAGGAGCCTCTGCAGTTCAGCTTGTTGTACGGGCAAGACCAGCTTGGCGGAGCCGCACTTTGTTTCAGCATCAAGCTTCGGTCGCTTAGCGAGACGCTGTGCCCGCCTCAGTCGGGCACGGTTTTGCTCAATGGTTCCTCTTGAGACTTTCGAAACATCCAGAATCTCGCCGGAGTTGTTCTCTTCATCTTCTTCGCCATCTTCAAACTTCCCAGTTGATGCTGCTCTCTTTTTACTTGTCTCAACATGGGCTGTGACTTGCTGCACAGCACGTCTTTGTTGGTTCAGACTCGCTTCGGAGGAAGACTTCGTTTCAAGCCCCAGTTGCTCTCTCTCAACGTCACCGAAACCCACTGAGCGAAGAAAAAAGGGCTGCTCTGCTACGGCGGCCGGAAACACAACAGGAGCTACTTTTTGTTTCGAAACGTCGTTTCTCTGTTCCAATTGGGTTGCCTGTTCCTGGCGCTTCTCTGTCTCAAACGGAAACCAAGGCAAGGACAGGCCACGAAATGACTCTACGTATATTTGCAATAAGGGTCCGCAGTAAGAGTGAAAAAATTCTAAGGCCTTGGCATCCGTCCATGCTTGATTATGCTCCACATGATGCGAGGAGGTACTTCCCCCTCGTGGAGCTGTGGAGGTACTACGAAATGCAGCAGCGACACGTCTAGCATCGAGGAGTGCAACCTCTTCACCGTCCACCCGAAGCGTCGAAGACACTGCAGCAGCTACTTCCTTTTTCGGAACGAGCTCCACTGCCTTACATTTGGGGCATTCGAATTTTCCCGACGTTGGGTTCAGATAACCAACGGCTTCCAGCTGCGTGTATCGCGTTGCATGACAACGAGCTGCACCTGAACAGAGACAGAAGGAATATGTCGAAGGCGCACGATTACCTCCCCAAGTCGCAAAATATAGATGCGAGCTGAGAAATTACGAGGTTGCTTTTCGAATGAACAAGCCAGGAGAACGGTGCTCGATTCGGCGAGTACTCAGAGAACAAAAAAGGCACATAGTGAAACACTAAATTGAAAAGTCTGCTTGATGTACAGGAGTATCGCACTCCGCTCCCGTCGCCACTCGCTTGTATTTGCTGTTGCTGCTGCGCTAACAACGTTGGAAAAGAGCCCAGCAATGTTCTGTAGTACTGGCGCAGTTCATGTGGGGGTCCTGCACCACGCACAACACCCTCAGCCATGAACCGCAACTTCCACCCAAAGACGTGCCCAACATCCGGTGCCACACGAATGAATGTCTGGGCACCTTTTCCCGCTGCGTACATCGCACGCACGTCAGTTATCGCGCCCTTCCCGTTGCTCTGCAAAACTCCTTGACCAGAAGATGCTCCCTCGCCAGTCCCGACATCTGACTCGATGCAGACAACACCCCGCGGAAAACTTCGGAGTCGACCGCGCAGAAGCGCCTCGGAGACCTTGAGTCGCGCAACGAGGGTCTGTTCCTTCACGGATTGCTCCTGCCGCAGAAGCTCCAGCAAAATCTCGCGATCAAGGTCATTACCCACAAAGAGCTCGACACAGATCTCGAGCCACTCGACCAAAGCAACCTGCGCGCGCGTCAACGTCCGTGACCGACGCTGGTGGCCAGCTTGCGCATCGATCCGCACCACCGAGTCGCTATTACAAGCAGATTCCATTATTTTTTCCAACAGCCAAGATTAAGACTCGAAGGATTTCTAGTTACCACACGGCGACTCTGACCTAGGGATTGGTCCTCGCACCTATGCTCTCAGTACAGAGGACACTCAACATCACTTCGAGTTACCACATTATACATTAGTTATCGTCTGCCTGCTCTATCTTGGTTTCATCAGATCATTTTCACGTCAGAATTGACGCTGGTCTTTTCCTGGCGCAAAAGAAAATAAGTAAATGCCATAATTGATAGGAGTAGTGATAGCAGTAGTAAGAAGTCCAGAGATATCTCCTCAAAAGTGGTGAGTGATCACGAAATACAAAAATGGAAAATCCCTTTCATGGGTGTTGGGGAACGTCTTTTTTATATTCTAAACGCGAGCTTTCGTCACCGCAACCGATGTTAGACTTTCATACCCGCACCACCAAGATAGATCCTCCAGCTCCGCTCTCTCCGATCATTCCGGTTCTCATTCACAGAGAGGCAGCCGCTAAAATGGTACTAATTATGCGACAACGATAAACAGGATTCAAGAGTTTTTCTTGTCTCACTCGCTGATCATTGCAGGAGAAGTATGCCCGATCTTAAGGTAGCAAGTCGCGGATGCGAAAGTCGAACTTCCTCGCATGAGGCTGCTTTCGGTCTGTTGAGAAAAGAACACTCTGAACAATCAAGCCTGGCGGGGCAGAGAGGAAATCGTTTTTCAAGAGGTCTGTCCACGGTACAGATACAGATACAAGAACTGGAAGGTCCACACAATTTCCTTTTTTTTCCAAGTCTTTGACGCGAGGCATCGCCGCTGCCACCTCTACCGGAAAGTCTTTCGGAAGTACCAGTAGACGATTTCCCGCTTCCACCTTTCCCAAAACACTTTGCACTTTCCGTCCCCGCTACCGTTTAGAAATGAACCATTCTCATAGTACACAGATCTGCTCCCCTGTCTTCGTCTTCCTGTAAAACTTTCGTCACTCGAAGCGCGCTTAATCCTCTTCGTCATCAGCGTTGATGTTGAAATAACGAAGTTCGTACTTCTTCTTCTCCGGAGCGATCACGTGAAGAAAATCACGGAGCTGGTGCTTCTTCAAGTACTTCTTGGTCAAGTACTTCAAATAGCGCTTGGAGAACGGAAGTTCCGCGGTGACGCTGATCTTGCTTCCATCACGTGCAAGCTGAAGTGAACATTTTTTGATTGGTGAGGGCCGCCGATACTGTAAGTGATCGAATTGAAGCTGAGCAGGTCCTACGATGGTAGAAAGTACAAATCGCTGTGGCAGGATCGGATGCAATACTCAGGATAGGGAACTAGTACATGCGACACTGTAATCTAAATTCAGATTTCACCTAATGATTCTGGGAAAACCACTATCAAATATGTACATGTCTTCCGGTTACTGTAACTTAACAGCAATTCGAACACGGTGGCAGTGTATCATTTGTTGAATCTAAACTGTGAGTGGAAGTTGCAGTACCTTGACTTTGTCGCCGAGGTTTCCGATCTTTCCGTTGACCTTGATGCGTTCGGTAAGGAACTGCTCGAGGCCGGCAGCTTCCATGATGTTGTCATCAACGGGCTGAGTGCAGTCAACCACGAAAGTGGCCAACTGCTTCTTGCCCTTGGTTTGGGTCTTCTTCTTCAGTCCTTTGATGGTCATTTTGACGGTCTACTATGTGGAGAACAAGTCTGTACCACGGGCCTCCAAACCACGTTTCCCTGTAAGATGTCAATAAAAAGTGAATGATAAACTTAGCTACCTTGCGCTACTTAGGCAGATTGGTCATTACCCAAATCGAAAGCGTCATCAACATCTCTAAATTACGCCAGATCTTTGTGGCTTAAGAGGATCGCAGCCACATCCCAGGGAACAGATTGTAATCTCTTTCAAGACCTTGCAAATGCAAGTATCAAGAAGCATCCTGGACTTTGGAGCTTGCTTGCTTCTCTAAATTACGATTCTTCTTTGATCTAGCGCTTTCGAGAAAATTCATGTGTTTTGTGCGTCTGCGCTTCTTTAGATCAAGCGTTTTAGGATCTTATTAGACGTTAGAACTCACCAGAAGATAGCTGGTCTAGGTGTTTTCAACCTTTGCCGCCAGACTTCGGACGGGACAAGATCAGTTCCACCATCTTGGAATTTAAATTTAGGTCGCTGTCGAAAACCCTGATCTAAAGCTGCCGAAGAACAGAGGGCATTTAGTTTGCATGGGAGAACACTGTGCTTGTTGTCCTGAAGGTAAAATGATATCTTCTTCGTCCATATATGGCATTATATGAGCTATTTTCGAGCGATTCGCTTCGCGGTAATTAAGAGGTTTTTCGAGGTTTCAAACCACTAATCCTGAACAACATAGTCCGAAGCCAAGAAGCGACCGTGGGAAGATGATCTTTAGAAGAAATTCTAATTTGACTCCTGTGCACATGCTGATGGATTTGAGCTTGCATAGCTATCAGGCACTCGACGAGGAGCAAGACGCCTTCTCGCATCTGTACCGCGGCCTTATTAGGGCGAGGGGAACCAACTGATAGTGATAATGACTCTGCATGATGAGGATAATCCCAGAATCATGCTCCGGATCAAAGTCATGAGAGGGTTTAGTTCACCGGGGTTAGACACGCGGTTGTCGGGTCGGTTGCCACACGTCAGAGACGCACGAAGAGCGGTTAATTTGAATGAATTTTCGGAAATATACAGACTATATTATCTGTTGTCGTCGCCTCGTACAACAATTTAGATAGACGGTGGATACAGGAGGAGAACAAAAATATGAAAGAAAAGAATATGTTGAGCATCTTTTTTGAGAAGGCAATAGAAATCCTATACTTTCTGAACAACACGCAAAAAGCTCAAAATAAGGACAAGTGTATCTAAGATTGCTATGAAAAAACCAGATACAGTTTCGAAGTACTAGCAAAGTGAACAGGTAAAAATATCATGATGTAACTTTTGGATGAAATAGATGATATAAGCCCTACTATTGGACAAACTTCCTGTGTACTTAGGAGGCACTTGATCACAAAGCATCGGCTAGTCGCTCCCTGCAGGCACACGGCCTGACTCCAGCGCCTTCACCGTATCGCCCTTTTAAGTGCTTTCCCGCTATCGCTCCTTAAACTAAATTTCCGTTCCAGAGGAGCAGGACACAAACCGTGTTGTACATGGGGAAGCTAGCAGGACGATGTAAATGGTATCTACGCAACAATGTGCTACGACCTAGCTCGCTTATAATCCAAGTATCCTCGCAAACTGTCATTCGAGGCGCAAGTCCAGCTACCGTCTAAGATGTTCTCCGTAACCAAGAAAGATCTAAATTTATCGAAAAATTGGAATCACTTTGATATCACGTCATCAAGTAGTCATCGAGGGAATTTTGTGGAAAGATGATCCCTTTACTTCTTCTCGGCAATGCTCTTTGACAGCCAGTCGAATCCCTCATAGATACCGTCACCGGAGGTTGCGCATGTGCTCTGGATGTACCACTGTCTGTTTCGCAATGTGTTCAGGGACAGCTTTTCCGTAATCTGATTATTTTGGCAAAATCGGGAAACTTGTACTATGTCGAAAGAGTACTCGAGGAGACTCCACTATGCAGACACCATCCATGGAAACAGGGGCTGACCACTCACCTATTTAAAGAGCCAAAACCGCTTCCTCGGGTATAAGTTTTAGGCCACGCAGTATGTAAGAACATTATGAATAAGTAGAGAATCGCTCACCTCAGCTGCGCTCATTGCATTCGGAAGATCCTGCTTGTTCGCGAAAACCAAAAGGATAGCATCCCGCATTTCATCTGAAGATTGAGAAATGGTGATAGAACTGTGTTTTGTCTTTCAGAGAGCACGGGAGAGGACATGAAACACGATTGTGAAAAAAAAACAATCCAAATCCTATACTTCCACTTGCTGAACATGGTGAGAAGTAGAATGTTTGAGTAGGGTACCTTCGTTGAGCATCTTCGTTAGCTCGTCGCGTGCCTCAACAATACGGTCGCGATCGTTAGAATCGACAACGAAGATCAAACCTGTGTGCACGAGTCAAGTATTATCGGTAAGATGTTCGCGATGTGGAGATTACAACGGCAGACCAAAGCTGAAAAAGATCCAAAATGGCCAGACACTGCGTCACGTTCAAAAGAGAAAGAAATCTAAGCCAGTGCGAATTACCTTGCGTGTTCTGGTAATAGTGTCGCCACAGCGGTCGGATCTTGTCCTGACCTCCGACATCCCACACAGTAAAGTTGATATTCTTGTACTCGACAGTCTCCACATTAAACCTGAAGAATTTAGTCGATTTACACGCCTTAATAATGCCCTTTCGTTGCTCTTAAGGAACAAAAGTCTCTAGCCTCTCCGAATGATTTACTTCTAGTCTTCGAACATGCTCCAGAACAAAATGGTAATGCGTCTTCGTTCTAAACTTATCGCATTGTTTTTTATTTGGGATTGGGTGGTCGGGAACTGGTTGTTTAGTGTCGCGGCGTGGTGGTCTTCTGTGCGCATGGACTTCAGAGTGACCTTGGGGAAGCATGAACTGTTGTCAAACTGACCCACAGAACAATGGATCGCCAATATCTTTGCAGCCTGATCATGAAGTATTGTGTTTCCGGGGCTGCTCCAGGTCAGCACGACTAGCCCCTCCGGAGTCTATGCACCGGGGAAGCCAGGCCGTTCCCATCATCCCAGAAGCGTGTAGTAGTAGTAGTGGTAGTAGTAGTAGTAGTAGTAGTAGTAGTCCATTACGGAAGAAAAGCTAGGATAGAAGATGGAAATTTGTTACCCGATTGTCGGAATCGTTGTCACAACTTCTCCCAACTTGAGTTTGTAGAGGATTGTCGTTTTACCGGCCGCATCCAAACCGACCATCAAAATTCGGCAGTCCTTCTTCTGCGCGAGCTTGTCTAGAAGCTTCGATATGAACATACCCATTTTTCCTACTGCGTTCGGCTTGTAAACACGCACACAACTATTCTAAAAAATTCTAAGAAATAGACCAAGTGCTGACGCCACTCGCAATCCTAACCTATTCTAATGTTTGAGTGGAGATGCGGACGATATTCAACAGGAACGGGCAGGGGAGTCACACAAAAGAAGGCCCGCTGAGTTCAGAGAGCGCAGGGGATCACAAGGGGGCGGCTCAACACACCAAAATGAATCGTGGTGCGTGTCGTGCCCATAAACAGGACCTGTTGAATTGACGCTTCAGTTCACAAAACGTAAGTCGATGGTACAATGGTTATGTGGATGATTGATGCAACGCATACTCTTCGCTATGAACCGGACTGAAAATAAAAATCTTGGAGCTAGAACCTCAGTTTAGTTGAAAGGAAGGGGTTGAGATCGCCAGTCCTGAGAGAATTTACGGAAGTTTTCTCGTTTATTTCGCAGTGGGAACGTGACTCTTTGACCCTTGTATTCAGCTCTTCTGAACAGCAACGGTCCTCTCTCAAGATTTTAGTTCGTTCCATTGTATTCTTATTCACATGACTTTTGCTAGTTTTCTAAAGGCAACCCATGAAAAATGTGCATTACCTTCAAGAACTTCAACTCGTCTTTTGGGGACCTACACATCTACTCTGACGCGGTTTGGGCGCGCTCAGCAGTGCTTTGCACAAGTCTCTGGTGGCTAGAAGAACACGTCATCTGAACGCGTCTAGATGGGCACTTCGCGGTATAGTCCACTGACCGTAGAAAAATGTCTTTGATGACTCTTGGATTACTCTCATTAGTGTCGCCGCATCGGAATCCAATGAATACCTATTATGCAAAGCTGCCGCATCATCTAGCTCCCCTCAGAACTCCAAAAATTTTTCGTACAGTAGTACCTTGATAGTAGAAAGCACTTGCTCCTTGGTATTGTCCTGAAATATTGAAAACCTGTATGAGTCGCTCGTCGTATGGTGCGTTTCTTGCCATTCTCTGCTATTCATTCGCAGTTCTATACACCTGCTCCAAATCCACTTCAAGTTGTTTTTCGGTAGGAAGACTCTAGCGTAAATTCATTTGCGAGCAACGAGGCTCTTCAACTATCATGTTCATGATACTCAAGTGCATTTGGTTCGTAGTCTGTATGTATAAGCCCAAAGCTATTATGCGCAGACATCTCGAAGTCGACACGATTTCCCAAAGAAATAGTATGGCATCCAAGATCCATACAAAGCTAACGTTATGTGTGCAACGACCTTGCTGAGAACAAAGAACTACAGCTACTAATTCAAGAACGTGCTACGTAATGTGAATTCTTGCGTTAATACTTCATCTCTGCTACTGGTAATATGTAGAATAATCATTGAATGGAAAGGTGGTTTTTCTCCAATTTACAATAAATTTGGCCATAATGACTTTAGGGAACAATAGTTTCTAAAATTTTCCGTTCAAACTCCTGTGCTATACATCAACGCCCCTGCTCTTGCTCTGTTCTTCTCCTCCTCAAAGATCGGCATGAAGCTTCGTCTCAAAGCCAACAAACCACTTTCACCTGGCATTCTAATTCATACTTCTCCGATAATAGATCTAGAGCATTTTTGGCGTTTTCTTCTTGTTCTTTTTATCGCTGCTGCTCCGCTCTTTCATGTAGTCTTCTTGGTCCTTGGCCAAGATTCTCCTCTCGTCCTCCAAATAGCCAGTTAGTTGGCTCTTGATTAGCTTGACCTCCGTCCGGTCAATGCCCAACTCTCGCCAGTCAGTGTCCGTGAGTCTCGTAATCTTCTCAAATGTCAGTCGGGCCCGCCTGAACTGCCCGGACAAGCGTCCCAGGTTAATCGCACGCAAAAACTGCGTTGCCCTTGCCACTTTCAGCTGTTCCGCGACTGCGTCTCGCCTCTGGGACATGGCGTCAACCTTGAACAACTTGCCTTGTTGCCTGAATTGAGAATTCAATGTAGAATTTCAAGTTTTTAGATTCATTTTCAAGCCAGATCCAAAGAGGCGAGAGAAGATTCACAATAGCTATCTAAATCTACGTTCCGTTTCCAAACCAAATACTTAATAGCAACTCGCTCAAAAATAGATATTGTAAGTACGCAGTTTTTTCTTGTTCCGCTTTCTCGATGACGCGAGATGCTTGATCCTGAATGAAGATCTCAGCCGCAATTGCTGTCCGCTGCGTTAGACCGGTTCGATGTCCCACAAAAGTCATGTTCCATACCTCCGCTCGGCCATACCTTTAATTTGAGGGATAAATGATGAACTCTAAGTACAATTTCAGGAGGAATCTCAATCCTTTTAAGTCATTTAGATGGGGAGCGCACTTTTGCTTCTCTAGCAGATGGACTACGATTATGTGGGAGAAAAAATCAGTACTCAAGTTGTTCGTGATGGATCACGCCTTTTTCCGCTGGTATCTTCTTTTTCAGCCTTTTAATGTAATCCATGACAGCACTAACCTTGAGACGGTATCGTACGGTCAGAATCAGCGGAATAACGATGAGCATCACGCCCAAAATCGCCAAAATCATCACGGGTATCATGTCAGACAGCGACAAGTTCATAACCACGATCAACCCGCAGAGGCATCCGAAACCTGTTTGTGATGTGATGTGATCAACGAACGAGAAACAATTCCTAACGCTAATGCTTCGTAAATTCTCAATTTAAGAGAGATGAAAAGGACCTAATCTCTTGCGCTAAGCATGCGGTGCAACTACAGCAACAACACTGCTACGAAAGTTGAATCTTAAGCTGACGAACTTGTTCGAAGTCTTTCGATAAAGACATGTACCAATAAAGCTTGCGACGTTGACTGCTGCCATCTGCACCTTGGGCACCGCATTTAGGTCATCGACGGTCTCTTCCAGTCGCTGATCATACTCGTAGCCTACTGGTAATGAGAATTTTGCATTTCCGTCTCCACAGCCGTCGAAACCCCATGGCCACATCGTCCGCGGCGTAAAACCAATCATCACAGACCTGGTGTTTGGGGAAATATTGAGAAATGGATGTTGGAAGAAATTGTTCGTAGGAATGGAAACTGCAAAAATGTCACAACGTTGTTCGAATCTGACTTCTCCATGAAACAAAAGCAAACCAAAACAAAAAAAAACATAATCGAAAAAAATATTAGTACTCTGGCACTGTGATGATGCGTACTCCCTTGTTTGGGTCCTCGGGCTTTTTCTTTGAGAAGCGTTTACGCAACTGTTTAATGTCCTCTGAGGGACCACCACCACCTGGCGCCATTTTTGCTGATCTTCATGCAAAAAGTTAAAAAACTAGGGGGCGGCAACAAAATTCGGTGTCAACAAGATTTGTGGTTTCCTCATAAAAAAAATTCAAGTTCAAAAGATAGTCGTTGTGAAGGAATCATATACGAACAAACACGAATTACTTGGGATTTAGTCTATTTGGTAGAGGGCGCGGGGGGAAATGGGACTCCGACCTGTACATAAAAAACGTAAATAGAGATCGTTTGTGAAGAAAGTGTCATTGATCTTTTACATGGTCACTCACTGACAGTGATTGGATGATGAACTTCTAAGAGCCTTCGTCACTCGTGACAGAACTCACAATTACGCAAAGCACTCTCAAGGAACAGAAAAAATGATCTCTAGCGCAGGCACGTACACTCTCTGAGAACAGACCAGCCGTTGTGAGTGTGACAGAAAAAATCCAACGTACTATAAGATTGATACCTAGGTGCAAGGCGGTGTCAGAACAACTCAACAGGACTCTCACAATCACATGTTCACAGTGCTCTCTACGCATCACGTTGAACAAGCAGACAGCGTCCATGCCTCAAAACAGAGAAAATTGTTACTAGTATATCAGTTCTCTTCGCTCAGTCAACGCACTCCACCAGAGATTATGATCACCGCTGCTAGTCTTTCTGCAGCGATTTCTATCTGTGAGCACGTCCCTTCATGACCGAAACATAAAAAGAATTGTCCTTCTAAAGTTCTTCGTTCGCGCTTCGACAACAGGGACGAGGATCATGAAAGTCCTTATTAAGCAGCTGACAAAACCTCTATTACGGCTTGTTCAAGAAATGCGAGCAATATGTGCAATTCGCTACGTACAGCTGTGCATGATGTTGATCACTGTTCATTGGACGATGAAGATCCGCCCAAAGCCTGTGCAGTTGATTCGATTCTCCGGGCGTACCATTTTGACCAATTTCCAAACACGAATTGGTACATCTCTTTATCCAGAGTACTGGGTTGAGTTTCGATCACTGTGTCGACCCACTGCTGCAGCCGCCGATACCTGTCCACGGCAGAGAACTCCAACGAGTAAAACAGTTTTGTGAGACACACAGGACAAAGAAAGTGTGGCTTGCGTTCTGCCTCGGGGCCACTGTTGCTACCCTGCATTAGACAGTTAAAAAAGATGCAGTGTTTCATGCCGAAACAGTGGCAGAGCTCATGCGCCATCACCTTTGCCGCTCGCTTTAGCAGACGCGCGCGAGAAACGATGGCTTTCTTTGCACCCAAGCTAGCAGCTTCTGATGTTGGCGAAGCGGGCTTCCCGATTGCAGCTTGCTCCTCACCTTCAGCATCTTTTCTACTTCTGTCAAGTGCACAAATATCAGATGAAGAAGCCTCGTCGCTCTCCATCCTACGGCTTGTGTAGCGATTGAAGGAAAAAACGCCGTTTCGCCCCAGCATTTCCGCTACACCAAAACAGAAATTCCACTCGTCTCTCGGATACAGATCTTCGAAAGTCATTCCTAAGAAAGCATATGCGTCACGCAAAGGCAGCCGCCACTTCGGAAGGGCCTTATGGATGATGTCGCCTCCGTGTAATTGATGCTGTCCCAAATGCTCGAATCGGGACTGGACTATACTAGTTACCCCAGAGGACTTCTCCTTAGTTGTACTCGGGTCGGAAGTATCTCGTTTTCTACGAGTGGAAGCGCCTCTGCTCGCTGAAATATTCACACCCTCTGCCGAAGTGGCTTTAGTTCCCACAGGCCGGACGGGCGACTCGATATCGAGAGTTCGATACGGGAGAATGCGTATCCGCATACCAGGAAAGAAAGCGCTAAGGAAACCTTCAAGCAGACGTAGGAACTCGCTATCCTGATTGGTTAGATGGCGCATTTGCGATAGAAAAAACTTTTCGTCACGAGGGTCACATTCGAACTCTTGCTGAAGCGAGCGAGGCAACGTCTTGACTTGCAGTGCCACTTGAGAGGACCCCACAGACTCTGCGATTTGCTGCTTCACATCCGCTTTCGATTCGCATGTTTCAGTAGGACATTTTTTTGCAGCGAAGGCGTCCTCACTGTCACTTGTTTTGTCCTTTCCCTCTCGCGCAGAACCCCGTGTCGACGCACTACCAGATGACGACCTTCGCGCCTTTTTCATCCCGCAAAACTCTACACTCCCAAGCGGCTGCAAGTACAGAGCGCTTGTCGTCGCCGTCGGACGCGCAAACATCCCCGCTGTCCTCTGCACGAAGGTCTTCACCGTTTGCCCTGCCTCTTCGTGCTCCGCCAACCATGAACCCGGTTTAGATTTACCAATCTTTGCAAAGTCCCTATTCAGGTCGCTTTTCAGGCACGCAGCCTCCCACTCCCGGATGCGTCCCGGAGAAATCGTCGTCGCACCGTTTGAGTTTCTCTTTGATGACGTCGATGCCGAAGATGATGACAAGCGCACTGAATATCGCTCCCCCGCTCCCACGACTCTAGAATTTGCGGACGCTGTTCTTGACGAAGACGATGTCATACTCCTCTCGGACATGCCCGACATAGGCTCTGCAGCCAACGGTTCGCAAACCAGATCAGTGCCAGATAATTTCAATTCTGGGTTCAGACCATGGCTACCAGATTTCTGCAATGCACTCTGCAACAGGTTGACATCGCCGATCGCCGCAAGGGACACTTTAGTGTGTGTGTTCCTTTTGTCTTTGTGCGCGCGACACACCTCGTCCCCGCTGTGCTTTAACATTTTGGTCGATACAGAATGCCACGACGAGATCAAACTTTTTTAATCAAGTAAGTCCTGCTTCGAAAACTCAAGCGCCAACTTATGAAGTAGCGAAAACAGTTGCAACCTGAACGCGCAGTCGTTGTTTATAGCACAGAAAAAGCGCGACTGTAGTTTTGTTACTTGCAATAGCCCCGATGCTCGGCCACGGGCGAGATGATTGACGTTGTTGGTTTTTGTTCCTGATGATGTTGCTCCTTCTGTTGTCTTTGACCTTGCTGGTCCTTTACTTTAGTGCAGTACCATGGTGATCATGATGATGATGGTTCTGATCCTAGTGCTGTTCTCTGATCTCTTGCTCCTTGTCGTGGTGGTGATCGTTGTGGTCGTTCTGTTATTGATCTTGATCATGCTAGTGGTGATCTTGGTCTTGGTAGTTCTTTGTTACCTTTGTACTCGGGATCTGGATATTGAACGCCAAACCCTTACACCAAAGAACAAGGAGAGAATGATCTGATGTCTCGAAACTAGGACTAGTACAACTCGGAGGACAACAACAACAATCTTTTTTTTCGGGAAACTAAAACTATGATGAAGTTCAGATGCTAATCGAAGTACGTGGTTCGAAAACAATTTCATTGGACCTAAAAAAACCGTCGGCCGAAGCGGGGAAGGGGCGGTGGGAGGGATCGCTTGTTTAGTGGACACGGGAGAATCGGTTTTCCTTTTCGAGGATCAATGAGGACCGCACGAGGATCCAGATCTCACTTGGTGACTTGCAATGCCATCTCTCTCGTTTCCCGGAAGCCCGTGTTGCGTGAATATGCTTCATTTAGTACAGTGTTTTCTTCCAGTACTACGTACTGGATCCACAGTGTTCTGTTCTAGTACCACGAAGATGCTTCATTTAGTCCACTGTAGCCGCAGTGGTTTTTTCTAGTAGGTGCTCTCAAATATGACAGACTTGTCGTGGACTACCGCTTTCACTATCACTACTACGCGTGCTAATGCAGAGAAACTAAAATAAATTTCGTTTACTTTCTTCATCTTCTACTAGAAGAAGTTCAAAAAGCAAGTATTTCTCTCCTTCTAGCCCGTCTAGATCTCGTCCTCCACTGCTGGGTAAAATGCCACTTGAGAAGATCATGGAATACTGCTATGCCTATGCAGCTCCACTACAACATGGTCGTCGTCCACGGGTTTTACTGCGTATGGCACTTCAATGTGGTCCACATATTGAAGAACTCCGTATCTGGTATTTCAGAGGTTGATAGTAAGAAATTTTAAATTTTTCCACTGTTTCCTCTAAGTACCGATGCCGCATAAGATCCGGACCGTCAAAGTCCTCCAAGACTAAATCGGAATAAAAAGCGAGCTCTGGATCGAACAGATCCTCCTTCCCCGGAGTAGCCATCAGTTTCTCCGAGGATTAGAACTATCTTCAAGTTGATAAATCAAGACCAACTTGTTACACTTACCTTTTTTGCTTTCAGACTAACACGTCGGCTATGAAGAAGCTTAACAGAGGCCTGGCTTGATCTGGTCGAAGAGAAGCTTGATGTGCTTCTGGGGGACCGGAGTGTTGCCGCCGTCGATAACGAAGGGGATGCCTCCTTTTAAGCACTGGAGGAAGGAGCGACGGAAATTCTTGACACATTTCGCATCGAAAATATTCACCAGAACTCCTCCACTGTACTGAAAAAACGTCTGTGCGCGCGTGCTTGCGGGATCACTGCTTGTTTACTGTTGTGGCTGTCGTCGCGCGAGGGATTATCTCGTTCCCCTTTCTGTTGCAATAGTGCGGATACTTGTTCGTATTGATGCGCTCCGGGCAAGCAAAGCGTACGACCTCGCCGGACTTCTTTGCGCTTCGTGTGTTTTGTGCTGTGGTCGCCGTTGCAACTATGTTGTGTCTAGCCTTGTTGGTCGCGCGTTGTCTTCTCGTCGCCGCCAGCTAGGGCGTGCCGGGCTATGCAGGAGGCGGCGCGTGTGGGTAGTAGCGGCTGACGTGGGTAGCGGTGTAGCGCGGTCGGGCTGCCTGGTGGCCGTTCTTTCTCTCTCAGTCGCTTCCTTTCAGCCCGAGGCTTTCGGGGTGCGTCTGCTTGACGCTCGTACTTGTGTGCTTCGTTCGTCGTTCTTCGTGCTTTGTTCTTTCTTCCGGTCTTCGTTCTCTTTGTCGTCACACGTTTACTTGTCTCCCCCTGGTTCTGTCTTCGCCTCCACCTAGCTCGGCCCCGCCCTATCGTAGCTGGCAGCAATGGTTTTACCGCAGCGGCCGCTACTCCTCTACCTCTGTTGCATCATTGGAGGTGCGGCGGCTGCGCTCGCAAGAACGCACCGCCGGCGTGGACCGTGAGGATACTTATCATGATCTTCTCTACAGCCATCTTCATAAATATCTGCGTCTATATCTTTTGACCGTGCGACGTAAAATTACCAACGGCCATGGCTTCTCGCGAGGCACAGCAAAACTTCCGATGTTTTTGATGAGAGCGTCGGAGAGTTGCTTTAGCGGTATGACTCGCATTTTTCCCGGTGGAAACTGACTCCCCTGCTGCGTTCCGCTACCGTCATCCATCAATGGATGCGTCAAACTGCTTTTGCCAGGATTTTAGCGTTGAACACGCATTGAGCAACTCCTTCTTTGCTTTCTCGACTTCGAACAGTAGAGCTATCGTATCGGGGTCGTCCGCATTACTCATCGATCCTTCACCTGTTGGCGAGATTCTTCTTGAGCGAAGATAATGCAGCTATTGTTTTTGTCATTGGATTCATTAATTAGATTCACCGACCAACAGGAGCAAACAAATGAACGATATCATCTACTTGTTCAATCCAATGGCCATTTTCCATCAAGGCATCACTTTAGTCACCTGTATTCGCACCCGGCCATATGTGTTTGAGCCACGTTCCGTACGCGGCAAAAGAGGCGCTTTTGAATTCCGCAACTTTTTTCTCTTCTTTCTTCATTTTTGCGACACACTCCTCTATCGCATCTTTGTTAGCTGCCATATGCGCTTCCCTGCGTGCTTGCTTCGCGCCAGAAACTGCTTCTGTTCTGATGTTGTAATCAAAGTTGCATATTTTGCTCTAGGCTTCTCGTCATCTTCGAATGGAACTGTGACTGCTTGTACTTTTGATCACAAGTGGGATCATCGAGTTACACGACTAAAAGTTTCTAGTTTTCACTTCAAGATTGTTCTTCTGTGAAATGATATACGCGTCTTCTACCCCGTAGTGTAGTTTTTTTACCTCTCCTTCACTTTTTTCTTCGCTTCTTCTGCGCACTCCTTGTCGTAGGTCCACTGCTCCACCATTTTTTCGCATTTATATCCCTCTGGAGCTACCTGGATTGGCAGTTCACCAGATTGATCCTGCATCCAGGGATCCGCCCCCGAGTCGAGGAGTAGTTCAACGATGTCGTCCGCGCCGACGGATGCAGCTCTAAACAGTGGCGTTCTGTTTAAGTCGGAGACATTGTTTACGTCCGCTAGCTTTTGTATCAGCAGCTTGCAGCCCTCGAGTTGTTGGCCATTGGCTGCTGCTCCTAAGGGTGTAGATCGTTCATCGTCTGTGCATTCGAGGAGAAGTGGAAGATGCTGGTCGATCATCGTCGCTACGGTTTGCATCTCCCCATCGTAACAGGCTTCCACAAATTCTTGCTTCTTTTTGTGGTCCTCTGCGGCCTTCTTCTTGTCTGCTGCGGAAGCCATGTTGCCTGTGCTTGCTCGTGCTTGGGGATTGATTGGACTGTGAAGTCGTGTTAGTTCCACGACGGAATCCTATCTCGAACTTCTTCTGCTAATGCTGTTTCAAGAGTTTGAAAATACCCGACATGACACAAAGGATGGCATATCCATCTCTCTAGTTCGAAAATACTCGACATGGTGACTGGCAATGGCATCTCTCTCATTGCGGAGATGAAGTCGCCTCATTCCACTTTTATCCAGGCAAACATGTCACAATTCACAATATCATGAAGTCGGACCTGCAACTAATCAGCATAAATCCATGATGCCCACCTTTGGGTGTCCACATCAATTTTTAGAAAAGAAAGTCAAAAGAGAATTCATGTACTAACGTTTTTGATATCTGGATGTGTGAGGGCTACGACAGGTGGAAAAAGATGAGTTACAGAATATTCGTGCAGTAGCAATTGATGTTTTCATTTTTAACAAGTTTTCATTTTTTGGTTTTGGATAAGAATACTAAGAAAAAGAAATTCGTTACAATCATGTCCTGCCCAATGCCCTTCTATCACAAGAAGCATCATGCGGCTTCTTGCCAGTGACAATGGCTTCACTCTCCCTGCCCAATTACGGCTGTTGTGTAAGCCCCGCCAACTCTTTGAGGTTGAAACTGCAGTGGTACTGCAGCGTTTAGAACCTCAAGCTCTAGGAGAGACAACCGAGCAGCATTTTCGTCGACCCCTTGGTTGCTTCCATCTTCTTTCTCCGAGCTCGACTCCACCGTACTGTGTGTCTTCTTCGATGCGTCCACTGACGCCTCTTCGCTGCTCGCAGAAGCCGTCGGACCTTCTGCGCGGCTGGGTGTGCTCAATTTGTCGAGCAAGTCTAGCGCTTTTTGTTCAACCCGTCCATCCATCTCCAGCAGAATCGTCGATTTCAGTAATCTCAGCTTGTCCTGCGCATCTGGTTGAGACGTTGCATAAGCCTCATGTCGTCTCAAGTGCTCGACAATACTATGAAAGAACTCGTGACGCCAATCTTGGGCCTGATTAGCATCTTCTACGGCACCGTCCTGCTCTTCATCATCAGCCTGCTCGACATTCAGTCCTACATCATCAACCTTGCTCGTCCTGCCGACTCCGTCTCCTGACTCCGTACCACTTTCACCCGCGTTCAAATCAGACGGTTTTCTTGCAGCGTCGTCATGCGCGATCGCTTCTTGCACTAACTTCCACTGCCCCGCGGACATACGAAGATCACGGAAAGCCAGCCCCAAATGGACCAACTCGCGGCAGCGCAAATCGTGAAGCCTCGGTTCCACCTGGGCGCGAAGGATTAGCGCGAGCCACACACTCTCCAAACTCCACGCCTGCAGCTGGTCTAAAGAATGCAGTACCGAAGAAGCAAAAGCACAGTCTTGCAAAGCCCACTGATCCCGTGTTCGCTGCAGGTCGAATGGACAAGTGGCTGTTAGGTGCTCCTTCGTCATGGACTCTGTTCGCGTATCCTCGTTCTCACCCAAAATCTGCAGCAACCAGTGTTGTGGAGGCAGAGAAAAGTCATGCCTAGGAAAAGAAGCATCCGTCCCTGACTGTGCTGGAGCATTGCGCCCGCTGCTGCTATTGTCTTTTCCGATTTTCGACCTGCCGCTCTTCGTGGTGGCGGCCAGCACGGGTGCAGTTCCCCACGAGACAAACTCGTTGCTCTGAGCCTGACTATCCATGATCACGAGACGCCGAACCAGGGCATGGAGCACGCGAGTCTCACGCACTCGGATTTTCGCAAGTGCATTTAGGGTCCCGTACGTCTGCGCCAGGGTCCAAAAAGACGTGTCGCTCGCAATGCGGCCACAAACGCGTCGCACTGCATCTGCGAGCCAGTCCGTGGATTCTCCTGGTCCCGAGAGGAACGGAATCTGACGCTGCAACCCAACGATCATGTGGTGCACCGACATGGGTCCCATCTTATCCACGCGCGAGACCAACTCGCGAATTAACAGCTGGTATAATTTCGGATCCTTATGAAGGGAAAAAAGTGTATTCACACTTACTTGATCAAAGAGGCCGTTTTCTGCCTAGAGGGTCTTGCCTAGTTTCTTAAGTGTGAGTAAACTTTTCCTTGGCATAATCCTGGTAATTGAAATACGTGAATGACCCGAGAATCCTACTCAACGTCGCGTCGCGAAGGGATGGCAACAACTTTTGATGGAAATGGAACGACCGCGCACAGACCTGCAGCAGTCCGAGATGCTCATGGCGCATACGCATTAAACCAAAGAGGATTTTCTCCAAGAGTGGCATATCCAGTGGAGCACGTCGACAAAGTTCGTGGGCCACGCAATCAATTGCGTCCGACTTCAGTTCAATCGAGAGTGGTTCTTGATCTCCACTTGACGACGTTGAGGCAGATTCCTGCTGTGTCGTCGGTGCTGTTACAACTCCTTCCTCCGACGATGGTGCTGGCAGTACAACTTTTTCGCCTGTGCTAGCTGGAAGCTGGTCAGCAACTGCGCCATCGCCCTCTGCCCCGCTTGCGCCGTCGCCCTCTGCCGTTGCCGCACTCACGCCGCCACGACCGGAAACCACCGCTGTGCGCCACTGCAACTGCCCAAAACTTCTGTACAGGTCTGCCAGCTCTGACACCGTAAGCAGTTCCAAAACTGATTTCGGTTCGTGTTTTGCCCGTGGTTCTGCATTCGAAGACTGCAGTGTTGAGAGTACTAACGGTGCAGCAGGCGTCACGGACGTGCTGTCAGCGGCTGCGGAATCCTTCAGCGCGGTGAACGCTGCTCCCCGATCGACACCCACCGCGTCAGACGATGGAGTAGCGTGCGGTGCTCGGCCGGACAAAATTTTTTGCGTGACGAGTGTAAGGAAAGGCTCGTCAAAATGGTTGAAACTACTGCATGCAAAAAGAACGGGCTTGAAGAGAAGCTCCCTGTGCCCCTCGTTCTCCATGACGGGCATCGCGGCACGAATCACATCTGCAAGCAAGATAAGACCTTGATCTTCACTCCGCTCTGCAAAATAATGCCTGTTTGCGAGCATCATGGCTAGATCGTACAACGTGGCGCGACAGCGCACGCCACTCATCGCTGCCCCTGCACGGTTGCACACATTCACGAAAGAAGCGTCGTTCACCAGGTTGAGGCGACACAGAGTTAACAGCAAGCGACTCAGTAACAGTGCTGGACCATGCGAAGAACGCAATTGTTGCTGAGATCCTCCCGCACAATCGGACTCTTTTTGTGACATACTCGTAGCAAGCTCAGCGTGAGCAGAAGTGCAAGGTACATCTCGATGCTTCTGAGCGATAGCATGACCTGCCTGCCCAGCATCCTTCTTGGCCTCCTCGATGCCGGATGTTTCGGCATGTGAAAACAATTCTCGTTCTGAAGGAAATGTGCATGCTAGGCGTCCGATTTGCTGCGTGAATCCCACCGGCCAGCGCTTCAATACGCGAACCGGCATTGCTCCTCCTGCAGAAGCGGCGATGCCTTGAGGGAAAACGTAGCCAACAAAACTGAACACCTCCAGAAGCCCGAGCTGCATCTGTTTGTGCCCATACGATCCGGTGTCCCACAGAGCAGATGAGTTGTCGCTTGTGGTAGCGCCTGACATTGAAGCTTCGGCCTTGGATGTTTCAGTGGAAGATGAAAACGAGGGCGTGGGTGCTTCGTTGTTGAGTTGATGGAACCATTTTTCGCCATGATTCATCATCAGTCGTGCGCACACATGAAGCGCTAGTGGTAACTGCTGGTTAGACAGCACGCCATGCATTCCCGCGCGGCTCTGCTGTTGAGGTAAGGTAGCGGTACTGCTATTTGCGAAAAATGTCTGTGGAGCCCACTTGGCCCGCACCACAGAAGCGTGATGCTGTAGTGGATTAGAGTCCACCTAAAACAATGGATCCTCACGTGTATATTTTGGAGCTGCTGTCCCTTGTGGAAAGCTCCAAGACCCTACGGAAACGAATGATAATGGGAAGCCTTAATTGCCCCGTGGGATAGCACCGTCAAAATTCGCACTCCGTTCCTCACGTTGTCGCTTTCCGCTGCTACCTTTGTCCGCAAAACGTCCTCAAGGACCGTCGCAGCTGTGGGCGAAACATCGAATCGCGCCATGAATTGCGCGATTTTGGACGCTGGCCATCGCTTTGTCAACCGTCTCTCGAGACTCACAGACTGCGTTGCTGAGACTGCTCGCAAAGCTTGGCGACCGCGCGTGCCCGAAAATGAAACCGACGATGGCCCACAAAAGTTCGCTACGGTGCTTGCTGGATCACGACAGGCCATCTCCAACTCAGTAAGAATTGGGAAGCGCCTCGAAAAAAGAGGTAAGTCTCGACGCGTCCTTCGTGCCGCAGTCTCTGTACTACTTTCACCTTCGATCCTACCTAGTTGTCCGACTACCATACTCTCGTCGACACGGTGGACTTCGATTACTTGCTCTACCACAGGTTTCGTCTCCCTAGGCGCAGAATCTACTTCGACTCGCTGCCCGGTGAGCTCGAGTGCACTTTTCCCCGTATCGATGACACTGAGGGGAGCAGCGCCAGCTATCGAGCTGCTTCTTGAAACCGCCTCCGTCTTTACATCTCCCTGAAAAGAGGTGCTTTCTTTCACCTGGGCAGTCGCCTCCATCTCTGGTTCGGAGCGGGATACCTTCGGCGGCTCGTCCAGCTTCTCTATCAGACCGGCGCTTTCCATGCAGCATGTCGACAAAGTGTGCAGACGTTCCACGAATTCGGCACGATTGGCTGCAATAGCTGCTAGTTTCTGGGTATTTTTTTGCAGGTTTTTGAGCCTGCGACACAACGTCTCCATGTTATTGCTCAGGTTAGACACATCCTGCGCAATCACATCCTGCGTAGGTCCAGCAGGTGCGGGCACTGCTGTCCCGTTGGCGCGATCCGGCATCTGCGCAACTTCAACTGATGCCTGAATCCCAGTGCTCCCATGATCGTTGTTTTTTCCCGGCTGTCGAAAGTCCACACTCCCACCAAACTGCTCGAACTCTTGTTTCGCCATAAATTGGGGATTTACCATTGCCTTCTTCTCCTTCTTGCTCATCTTGGCCACGTCCTGGTTCTTGTGCTTTTTCTTCTTTTCCTTTTTACCGATCTTGACAGATTGACCCACGGGACCGCCGAATGGATTTATCTCGGCACTGAACTTCTTCTCCTTTTTCTTCCTCTTGCCGCCAGAATCCGCGGGACCCCCGAAGGGATCATCATCAACAACGAATTTCGGTGGCTTTAGCGCTACTGGGACCGACGATGCATGCGCCCGGTTGTCGACGTTGCTCTCCGGACGTCCGAATTTGATCGTCTCGCCAAAGTGAGCCAATTCTTCTCGGGCCCTGGCCGCCGGATCAGTGTTGCCGCCCTGCGCCGCCCGCCGCGCTGCCTTACCGAAGTGCCTCCGGCTTCGGAGGATGCCGTCCACGCCATAGCCGGTGCTATGGAAAACGCAAGACGGCCGAGGAAACATCCTTTCAGAAAGAGAGACGCAAAGCCAATGGCGACATCCCAATACTACTCACCCTATATTCACCATCTCACTCTTTTTTTCCGAAAACACTCTGAATCACTCCATGCTTACCGTTTGAGATTGTGATCGCGATTGCGGACTAGCACATCACTTGTTTTATGCACTCATACTAGTTCGCTGTGGCGAAGAGGTGAACTGACAGCGATATAAGAGAGAGCTTACCACAAAACGGACACTTCCATTGAGAAAATCTTTTACCGGGATCAGCCAGGTGCTAACACGCCAATTAGGTAGATTTTGGGCTGCGAACACCGCGTGAGCCTCTTCTCTGACTAGAGCCACTCGCTGCCAACTCCATGCGCTTATCCACAAAGATCAGCAGCCTGTGTCAGTTACAACATGTGGAAAAAACAAGCGTTGCAACATTAAGGGACTTGAACGTCTCCGAAAAGAAACATTCTGTTGATGGAGCAATCCACAACTGATCTCTAGCATCACCATGGTGTGTCGCCTGGATGTCTGTAAATTTTTTCCACCTCTTCGGCATCGCCGCTCGCTTCTTCCGCCAGGTGGCCTCGAACACGATCGCACTGCCAAAACAAAGCCAAACACTTGTCGAGACCTGGTGGGTCGAACATCAAAAGCCAACTTTCGTTATTGAATCTCAACTACAACTGGCCTGTGGTAGGCTTAGATTAAGATTAGGAAGTCATGGTAATAAGCGTGTGGACCTTGGAACTTCATGCTCACCAAGCAATATAGCGAGACTAGAAAGATGAAAGTAGTATTTTGAAGATCATCGTCATAAATGATCTATGAGAATTTCAAACAGGCATCGAGAATGTCAGAACGCATGGACAGCAACGACCCATAAGCACGGAACCGCCACATGGAAAGCAGACTATTTCATCTAGCACAAGTGTCTTCAGCATAGCACCACAGGCAAAGATGCCACGCTGCTTTTTCATGTGCAAATCAAGGGAGTTGAACCATGAGCATACGAGTTAGCACATAGAGCAACAATTTTCCAATACCTCAGGGTAACAAACAACCAAGGGAGTTATGAGAAAGCTCGGACAGCGGCAATTGACAGGAAGAAGTTGCCACATGGAAAAGCTAACTACACTTCGTCTTGCACGAGTGTCTTCAACGAAACATCACAGAGAAAGATGCCACGCTGCTTTTTCACGTGCAGATCATTTCATTGAAGACATTCCTTGAGGTGATTGACGACACCGAGAGACCTAGTCGCGTAAACTACGATGTCAGCAAATCAGGTAGCAGGGATGCCGAATCCTGACAACAACTACGACCCGTTTAGATCTTCCTACTAACGAGTGAGTCATTGCAACATTTATTGGAACTACAAGTTGTTGAAGCAGAAGCATAACTTGTAGCATAGACACATTGTAACGTAGACATCGATTCTTTGCCATCGTCAGGACCATGAATACCTCCCATTTCTTCAGCAGAGCACTTTCCGCGGGACTTGACTCTTGTGAAGTCAACGTCCTCCTCAGACACTCGTGTTCCGAAGCCATTTACTGGCACCGGTAACTGCGCGAAAGTATTCAAAAGCGGGTGATCGAACTTCGCACGGAACAGAGCCTGTTGCGGCGTCTCTGCTTCTACATCATCGCCGCCCCGCAATCGGGCTACCGCTGTCAGACAAAAGTCACGCTCAACGTCGCAGGCAGCAATCATCTCTTTGCAATCGCATACGGAAATCGTAGGCTTCCGGACGCAGTCCCGCTTCGCCGGTCTCGCCGGAGCAGCCTTCTTTGCTGCAAGCTCCTTTTCACTTTTGACAACTGCGAACGGGGCACGTCGGGGCTGCGGTGGAGCCGGGACCTGTTCCGCTGAAATCTGATGTGCACCGAGGAACCGCGCGGAAGAGTCGCGAGAAAACGCTACGACGGCTACAACGGTTCGGAGCATCCTGGTGCTGGTACCCCCCAGCATCTCTGCTAGTGGGCGCGGGGCGGTGTAGACATGTTCTTTTGGCTAGGCTTTGCACGCACAGCAAACGTAGGTCCAAGGATAGCTTGTAGCATCGCCGTGAAAATGTAACCAACTCGCACAATGTACATTTACTGATCGCTCATACGGAGGCCTCGGAACAGACTCGTCCACTCATTGCAGGTCAGCAACTCAAAAATATCACATCTTGCAAAACATGCACCCCGGTGTCTGATCCTGACACTCGACCGCAGGTGGAAATCCAAGCTCTATGGTGTACTTTGTGATTATGTTCTCATTATGTGCCTTCTTTCTGTCGCGCATGTTACGTACTAAATGAACCAGCTGTATCTTCTGTACATTTCTCTGCGCAGGAGACTCTTCTGTGCATCATGAACGGAATGGGGATGAACATGCTAAATTATGTGCCTGGTGTGCTCACTTGACGCTCGATTTCAACTGTCATTTCGAAGATCTGAAAATTTCTCCAGCAACGAAGGCCATGTAAAGCTTCACTTCTGGAACTCTCGGGGTATCGAATGTGAAGGCAGGAGTAGCGCATGCGTGTCAGTTTGCTTCGGCAATTGCGCTTCACACATCTGTCGCGGGAATGAGGAACCAACTCTTTCTACGTCCTCTATCGACGGGGTTGCACATGGCATAGTCGGTCGAGGTGACGTCTGCTTCGCCAACAGTTCCGTCTCCTGCTGTTTCAGCGCTCGAAAAAAGTTCTTGCTCTGTCGTTCTTCTACGATTTGGTGCGCTTTTTCGGCACGTTCTTCGTCGCTGCCATTCAATCGTCGTCGCTCAGCCGCCGCTGCGTGCTCTTGCAACAGAGTTGTGGCTTTCACCTGTGCGAGCTGCACCTTCTCGTCAGCCGTGCGCTCCACCCCATAAATCGGCCTAAAGGTTCCTGGTGCATGTTCTCGTTCCCGCCGCGGTGAGGTCGCAGGTAAAAGCGGCTGTGTGCGGCGCGGAGACCGCGGCGAGAGCATCGAAGGATCTACACCGAAACTTTTATTTCGCGTCTGCTGTTTCTTGGCCTCTACAAAATTGTGGATGCGCTGTTGAAAGAACTGCATCTTCGGTGCTGCGTCGTCCGCCAACGATTTCAGAATGGCCTCATCCCGCTCGTCACGCGCCTTGTAGTACAATTCGTTCCCGCAGTCCCGACAAAGAAACGCAGAAGGCAAAGCGGGCATGCACTTTCCACCTTGGGCGATCTTCAAGGCCTCGCTGAAGTGCTCTGCTATTTCGCCCTTTTCACGGTCACCTTGCTTCAGGAGTGCGTCCTTCTCTTCAATTATCTGCAAGAGACCCGCAACTTTGCTTTCCGCCTCGTTGCAAAGGCGCATGGAGTCCGCTGCACGTTGCTTTTCCTGCACAACCTCTCTTTCTAGTGCAGTCACGCGAAGACGCCACGATCTATGTTGAAAAGGCGGTTGGAGATGTGAGGCATTGTCACATCAATAACGCGACAGTGTCAGATCACGTTTTAAGCTGGACATGTTCTTGCGGATCTGGGGAATTGATTCCACAATAACTGAGACAATAATAAAACAGAACTAATCGCAATCACCTATAATAAGCCTCCCCTGAAGTAAAGTACCTTCTACAAGCTTCCTTCCACCCCTGCATGCCTTTGTTCAGATATCCGCGTATTTTTCCGCCCAGGTATTCTACTAGCTTCCCGCGCACGGCTTCCGCGACTCTTGTGCGTTCGGTGTAATTTTTCAGAGACTGTTCTAGTTTTTCGCATTCCTCGGTCTTCACGTCAAGATCTTCCTGAGTTTCCGACAATCGCTTTTCTACGCGCTCAATGTGGTTCTTTAGTCGCAACACCTTCATGTCCATCCACTGCCGCTGCAGTGCGCGATAACATTTCTGCTTCAGAAACTGTGCCAATTGGCGAGCGATCATGCGAGCCAACTCGTTCAAGAGTTTCTCCTCTTTGGCATCGGCCAGCAGTCGATCTTTCTCCATTTCCTGTACCTTTCGGGTCAAAATCACCACCCGGTTGTTCAGATACTGGATTTTCGATTCGTAGCCATTCTTCATAACGTAGAGCGACCAGGCTCCGAAAAAGCTGCTCTTCCGCTTCCACATGTTCTCGCGATTCACGTACTCCTCCATGCGCTTTAAGCGATGTGACATTTCCTGTGATTGCAGCAACATGGCGAGTGACCAGCTGCGAATTCTCCTCTTGCGGTGAAAATCTGCCAAGCGCAAAAACCGTTGAGTGGTCGTCTCGCGATACCGCTCAAATCGGTCCTTCAGACGGCTAAGTTCGAACCGCAACGAAACAGCTGAATTGCGAGTCGGTGCCATCATGCACTGCATGAAGTTGATCAGGTACTCATCTGTTGTGGCCAAAATTGAATTCTTGTATCAATTCATAAGTGCCTCAAAGCAACGGATTTTTTGATCTCTGCCTGCTGGTAGCAAGCAGATATGAATTTCATTTTTTTATCGGCAAAGGTTAGTACAACAATTTTCCAGAAAGAATGTGGACAACTGCAAAAAGCGGTACTCAATCACAAGTGTGTAGACTAATCAATGCTTTTCGTGTCAACTGCATCAATAGTACGGCTGATGTCTTTTGTCCCAAGCTTGTGCCAACACACGGTCAGCGCATGTTGTACTTTCGCTAAACGTTCCGAAATTTTCTCCAGATTGTTTTGCATCATAGCAGCAAATCGCACCTCATTGATCCGTCCTTTTTCCTTAAACGCCGTGCGCTCGATGACGTCGCTGTGATGCAAGCGATTCAAAATGTCGTTCGAGTAGCCACGCCATTTGAACGGGTCGAACTCTCGAAGCAGCGTGCCAATGCTAATGCGCATACGATAAGCTGGGGCAGTGACGCAGACCAAATCCTCGAAATACGTCTCATTGTAGTTCTGAGGATTCCGAACGAAAATCTGTACTCCGGCAATCCCTGGCGTATCCATGTAGGCCCGCACTCGGGTATGTCTCTCCGCGGCAGCCGCCTCCCGTGCCTCTCGCACTCGCCTCTTTTGCTCTAAACGCAACTGTTCGCGACGCTCGGCTTCCCGTAGTCGCTCTTCTTGCTCCAGCCGTTCTCGTACCTCTTGCTCCGTCTCAACTTTTGTCTCATCCTCACTACTGTCTCCAAACTGCCTTACCTTCCGAGTTGTCTTATTTGCAGTTTCGTTTGCGATGTCATCCTCATCCTTCTTCTTATCCATGCTCGATAGTCCATTATTCTCGTCAACATTACTACCCACTTGTCCAGCATTTTCACTCGCAGCATTATTTCTTTCTGCATCCGCATCTTGAGCGCTTTCGGCCTCCTCTGGATAGAAGCGTAACACCGAATCTCCCGTCATTCCGACCACTTCTTCTACCCTGGCGTCTTCACCGCGAGCCAGCATCTCCTCGACTTCCGGGAGCATCTCATCCTCGTCTCGGCGAGCCTTCTTTTTGCTCCCGTCTTGAGACATCCCCGCACGTTGCGACTTTTTTGCCAGTCAAATTTTCCAAAATTTTTATTGTACAAAGATCCAAACTCAAGCCCAAAGTCTTGCTATTTATACAGGTATTTTCCCAACAAGACTACCAGGACTGCTAATCTTGTTCGTACCGGTACATTCGTTTCAATTCACAAAGGATAAGATTCGTCGCTCATTAAGCTTTCTTCGTAGTCTGATGGGCAGCCGAAAAATCTCCAACGACTAGACAAAGCCAATCACGTAGTTGTACATCAACCATTCGTTCAGAGTTCCGCTTTCTACTAAGAACAAGTACAAGTCAAGTGCGCTCGATGACCTCATCCGCCGGCTTACGAAAACTGATACCAGATCCGAAGTAGTGGATGGTCCAAATCCATGCTATGAATCGGTTCCGATGTAGCGAGAACGAATAGGAATACAGGTTTTGGTTTATCATCATGCTCGAGACTGTCATCATCAAACTACGAAACATTTCGATTCTTGAGAATCTCTTCTGTGCAACGATAGGCAAAGATTCAACAACAGGCATACTTTCACATATCCAGTACATAACCGAAAATGAATATTGGATACGAAAATGCTTAATCAGAAAGGAGAATTACAAAAAGCAAATGCAGTTGCATGCGCATCGAAAATAATTACATTGATTCTCAACAAGGTCCGATGCGACTTTCATCTTCAACTTAAATATTTGCAAAATGACTAAATCATGACTCAAATAATGACTATCCGATGTATCAGGGAAACCAACACTCCGTCTTCACCTTCTACTATGCATGGACATGAAAATAACCAAAACATATAAATATGCAACAATAAAGCGGTGGTACACCCGTGACCGACGAATGAATGTGTTCCAAAGCAAAACGGCAGAGTGCCTCTCTGTAATTACAGGAACTCAAGTAATAAGACTAGATACATTTTAGGTCTGCGGGAATTATATGGATGTACTCCCGGCACATGCCCGCTAGCAATTCACAAAATTCACATCAACAGCGCAGAATGTGTAACTTTTTGAATGGAGGATCTACTAAAATAGCATGATATGATACTGCGCAATACAAATACGTTCGACTACATTTCGTTTTCTGTTTGCAATAAGCTGCTTTTTGTACTCCTTTGACCCCCCGCCTAGCAAGAAAGGCGTATCATCATTAACAACCTGTCGTCCACATGAGCCAAGTGAGACATCAACTGTAGCTGAGCATCCAAAAGCATTATTTGCTCTCCTGCAGCAGCAGTTCTGACAAGGTAGCTGAGTCCCCCATTATCGCAGCGGACCTAGCCGTGCTTTGTGTTTGACGCGCCCCACGAAAAAACTGCAGCGAGGACGTCGACCCTGCCCCTACCGAGGAGGCGCTGTCGTCAGCCACGCAAGAACTGTTCGATCCTTTGCGTTCCTCCATTCGCCTAGCCGATAATTTCGACTGGAGCGAGCCCGGCGGCTCGACCGTAAGCGAGCCTGTCGGCGGCGTGATGTTTCCGGGTAGGTAGACGCAGCTCTGCCCCTCAGCTTCCTCGAACTCCTTGTCGTTGGCAAAGGTATAGTGCATCACGCTCCATATTGCGAGACACACAGCCCAACAGAATCCACCAGTCCATCTCAGCGCAGATCCAAGCGCATCGGTATTCACTTGCATCTGCTGTAGCGTAGCTGCGTCGGACACAGCGCTAAAATCCACACTGTTATCACCGGATCCAGGTAATGGCTGGTACCTATTTTAGTTACAACTCGCTCATTTCACAAAGACTAACAATTTAAGTAAGTACATACTCCTCGGCCTCAGAGTGACTACTTGTTACTTACAGGAGTTGATGCGAGTCATCCGTTCAAGATCATTCCAAAGAAAAGGGTGAGAACGCGGAGAAAAACACGCTACAAGCGCTCTCGCCAGCAATAGAAACTGTACCCTTGCGACACTGCCAAGTAGCCAACCATAGGTGCGCCAAAAAGCGCCCCAGCAACTTCTTCGAGTAGCATCCACAGCGAGAGCGCCTGAGCTCTTTCTAACATTGACGAGACTATCTCGGAGCAGATCGCTCTGCCAGCACCAGCCGTTGGCCATCGTAGAAAAAGGTAGAATCCCCAGACAGATATGAGCAAGCCGGCCGTCTTCAGTGTGTAGATTGATTCGCCAGTAGAAGTTGGCGAGGACATGTTGGTGGAGTCTGATCTATTAACATCGTGACCTGAGCTCAGCTTCTCGTGCGCTTGTGGTAACAGCACTAGCTCTTGTTGCACACTCTTGTTTACCTGTTCATGCTGTGAAATCGATGCTGCTGCTATCTGTATGTCCTTCTCCTCGCGGCCGTCATGATCTAGAACGTAGTTATCGAAGCTATACGGGTCTTCGCGCTGGTCGCGCGCGGACGCCGCCAGAAGAGCGGCCTTTGACTTTCCGTTTGGTCGAAGCCCGACAATGGACCCTAGCTGCTCCTCCAGACTATCACGACCCACTTTGGCTGGCGCAGCTGCCAACGAAATCTCGCTTGACGATCTCGTTGTACTTTTCACCGGAGTAGAGTTCGCGCTGTTCCCATCGCCTGCAATCGCTGTCCCTGTATGTGTCATGCTTGTCGTGGAGAACATGAAGAACCAGCACGGAAGACCAAAAAAGAAGGCTACTTGCGCGACAAAGATGCGGCCTGCAATCGGGCGGCGCCGCTCCACGAAATCGCACAGAAATCCACCAGAAACTGCCGATATGATGCCACCAATCTGCGGAATGCTGTGCAGCTGCTCGATCGCCGCGGGAGAAAAGCCCCTGTTGCGGTAGTACGCGGCCAAAAAGGGCATCGCTCTGCGTGGCAAATTCCCGAGGATGCCCTGCATCGTGAGCAACCAGAAAGTAGGTATTTTTACGATTTTCACCGCCACTTCACAGGCGTCGATGTAGCAACGGTGGAGCGATCTGCGGAGCAAGCGAATGCGAAACCGGAAAGAGCTCTCGTCTTCATCGGTGTTCAACAGATCTGGCGCATGGAAGATTGTACTACTGTTCACCGACTGCTTGGACCCCGTACGGTAATTCGTGCGGGGCTGCGAACTTCGTGAATCTCTTTTGACTCCATGTTGTCCGTCCGGAGGAAACAGATTCGTTCTGCAATCTGCAAGCCTTTGTTTTACAGCAGTCATTGCTTCTTTTTGATCGAAGTCTTCTCTCTTAGTAATGAGCTTCGCTTCTATTTCTGAAGCCGAAAGGTGTAGTAGCAGGGGCGCATCGATACTACCAGGCTTCCCAGGAGTTGCCATTTCATGAGCTATGTCATTCCTTACACCTGGGTTCCGACTTAGAAGTGCTTGTTGCTCTTTACTTGCAGTTCTACTCGAGGCGTCCTTGCTTGCTGCCCGACTCGATGGCAACGAGCCGCCATTCTCGACATCGCGCAAGAATTTTCGGCTCTTCCCCAAGTCCTTCGGCATATTTTTGAATATCAGTATCATCACCCCAATCGTGATGGCTGCTACTGCATAGTAAACGACGGCCCAGCGTCCGCCGTGCGAAGCTATTTGCCAGCCCGCGACGAGAACAAGCAGACGATACCAGCCCTCCACCACTCCAAAGGCCTCCCCACGTCTGTCCGCTCGCGTAACATCTGAGAGGAGGGCCTTGCCGATGGGAATTACCGCTCCCAATGCGCATCCGCAGATTGCTCGCGCACTCGCTTGTGCGGTCCAGTTAGCACCTGCGAGCGGGGTCGCCACTGTCGCGCCCGCCCACATGAGACACGCGACCATCAGCAAATCACGACCTCCACACAGCGGCAACAACGCACCCCAGAACGGCATGCTCACGGCCAAGCACAATTTCTGCAGCGTCACGAGCAAACCGAGGCTGCGTGCGAAAAACAAATGCTCATCCTCGAAGTCAACCCTCGATGCGTTGAACAAGGCCCCGTCGGCTGCGTCGGTGGAAAATACCAGTACAATCAGCGTCTGCGGTGATACGGTTTGCCCAATCTTGTCCCACGCTCGTATCGTTAGGCGCTTCGCCACAGCCGCACCCGATAGCTGCGAAGACGACGTTCCCTCTTTACGATACACATCATTCAATATTTCCTCCACATCCTCTGTTTCCGATGCTTCGTCGAACAAGGGTGGCTCCTGACAGCCGCTGAGATCGTGTCGTGTACTACATCGTTCTTCACTGTCACCACGCCAGAAATTCGGGCGCTGTCGTGTCTGGGCAGCGACGTCATCACCACCTGGTGTTGCACGCGAGTCGTCTGTTGAGACTGCAGTGGACCCACAATAATCTGTTGATCGTGCAGTTCGCAACTCCGCGACTGGCGCAAAGGTTACGGATGGCGAAGCGCGCTTGCTATACTGCGTCGGCGATGCTGGCACCTCTATCTCTGAAGCATCTTTCGCCGCTGTCTGCCTGGGGACAGAACAATGCAGAGGAACGCCTGCACGTGCACTTCCATCTCCAACATGATCAGAAAGCATCACATCGGGCCCTCTAGCATCTTCTGGCAACAACGACATATTTTCATCTTCAGCAGATGAACCGCCAGCAGTCCGCCGTGAAATTTCTCCTAATGCGGCAGACGTCTGGGGTGATTGCTCTGCCGAGGACTTGTTCGCTGCAGCACTTCGAGCCATATCCCACGAGGCAGTCGGACTTATCGATTTCATTCCCCCCATCGTAGTCGTGGACCAACAATTGTCTACGGCGTTGACGCTCATACTAGGAGGGTCAACAAAAAAGGCTCACGAGGCGGGACAACCTCGAGTGAAAACTACAAACAACTAGTAAGTTATAGAAAACATATCCCAATGAACACATGTGAAGAATGGAAGTGGTCACAGGAGGTATACAATACAATATGGTACGTATTTGATTACCTGTGTCTCATGGACATTGAAAAGCCGCGTCACTAGATCTACTCGCAGTCGCACCATAGTTCTACGTAATATGGTACGTATTTGATTACCTGTGTCTCATGGACATTGAAAAGCCGCGTCACTAGATCTACTCGCAGTCGCACCATAGTTCTACGTAAAAAACGTTTAAATGAAACTGAAAGGCAAAGGCAAAACATATTATTGTTTAAATAACTAGCAAAGAGTCACAAAAGCTTCAAGCAACGACACTCTTAAAAAACTTGTACGACGAAACAACAGACTCACATAGCGTCTGCTCCAAGTCGCAAAACAGAACAATCAGTGTAAGGAACAGAAAGCTATGTCTTTGACAGAACCCAATTTTCACTGAAAGCTCTTACCGATTAAGTATACAGGAAACCTGCAGTTTTCAGATCGTGATCCTTTATCAACATACAGATCGAACAGAGATTATGCCCTCCCTATCCCCTGCGTTCATGGGTAAAACCTCTGTCCTTACCTCTTAACCGATCATGATCCTTTATCAACATACACATTGAACAGAGATTATGCCATGCCTACCCCCTGCGTCCATGGGTAAAACCTCTGTTCTGAGCTCTTAACCAAAAAACTCAGGGAACCCATGCTGAACCTAAACTCAATAATCCTCCGCTATCCGCACCATTTCTTGCGAAAGCAGCATCCTTCGATGAATTTTCCTGAGGCGCAACTCTAGCACTTCTCTCACCCCTAATTTCGTGAGTTCCGTTCTTCAGATCGTTGTTCCTACTCAAAAAAATCATCGTGGAAGTTTCTACTTTCAAACCATTTCTCTCCTTGCTCTGCGCCCTACTATCACCCATCGAACCTTCTTTGCTCCGACTGCGGCTATCCTTACTGTGACTGCGGCTTCGACCGTAGTCCGGTTCTTTCATGCGATCGCGCGGATATGTGACGTGCATTCACGTCCACAGCAACAGACATCCGGACCACGACAAAATCCCCGTCCACCGCAAACCGAAGGCAAGGGCGTCCACATTCACGCGCATCTGGGACAAAGTCGCCGGACCTGACACGCGACTCAAGTCCAAGCCACCAGACTCTTCCGAAGAACCATACGCGGCATGGTAACTGGAATCAATTGCTTTTGCAAAAACACTTTTTTGGTGTTTCCATCGTCACTTTTCACGCGTAGAGAAGCGTACGCAAATAATAGCATGCCATAAAAATAGCTCAATGTACTTATATTGCCGGTGTTGTTCAGCTGCATCAAGCGATTTTATTCAGTGATCATGATGTGGTGGAACGGATAATGGTTCAATCGAACACATGAAGCAGCCGGATACTATTCTTTGCATTCAAATACATAGAAGTACCCCATTTTCGCACTGACGTACCCCACGACAGGCGCACCGAAAAATGAGCCTGCAACTCCTTCGACGAGCATCCAGAGTGCCAAAGCCTGAGCTTGGTCGGCACAACTTGAAACGATCTCGGAGCATATCGGCCGACTTGCAGCAGACACACACAAATTTGCAAAAAAGTAAAACAAAAACGAAGCTCCCAACAGGCGTAGAAAAATCGCATTGTCGAGAAACCTTGCTGCCGATGTATGTGAAGATGTAGAGAGATTTTTCATAGACGTACCTCTCAATTTGTCTGGTTCTGCTGCATCATCATCGATAAGAAGTGTTTCATCCGGAGGCAGCATCAAGCTCCAGCACGGAATCCCAAGAAAAACGGACGCTTGCGCGACCAGGACACGTCCCGAAAGAAACGAAAAGTTCTATTTGGCTGCCCAATCTCCTAGATAACCACCAAAGACCGCGAGAGCGATGCCACCGAATCGTGGCAGCGAATTCAACTGTGCAACCGCTTCAGGCGGAAACCCAAGATTTCTATAGTACATTGCAAGAAATGGAAAGCCGCGCCAAGGAATAGTGCCTAGAAAGCCTTGAAAGACAAGCACGTGGAACGTCGGAACGACGCAAACACGCCGCATCACAGCAACGACTCTGTCGGCACACCGCTGTGCAACCGCAGTGGAGGAAACTCGGAACCGATGCCACAAAGATCTTCGAGTTCGGGCGGTACTCGGCGAAACCCCTTCTCGACAAGATACAGCTGTAGACGTTGCCCGAACCAGGTCGGCATCATTATCCATTTTAATCAGCAGAGGCTGTCGCAAAGGTGTAACAACAGGCAGTCATGTTCATCTACGGTCTGCAGCAAGTTTTTAGGTCGGCTTCCCACCTGGGAAACCGCGTCGACTGTTGCCACCGGACACTCGCCTAAAGTCGTAGTATCAGCCGGTGCTGCGGCGATACTAAAACTTTTCTCATCATCGTGTTTGGATGCTCCGCAGCATGCATCATTCCGATTGGAACAGATAACTGCCGCGTAACTTTCTACTGATGTATCGTCTTCGTCGTCAAAATCCCAATAGTAGTGCAATAGGTCCTCGCCGTCTTCCCCTGGCCGCAAAGCATCCCTGGGCATGGCCAAGTAGACCAAAAGCATAATACCGATCGTGATTACAATCATCACGTAGTAGCTAAGATGCCACGCATCCCCGAGTGCTATAACGATATATCCTGCAGCTATCGCAAGCAGGCGCGACCAACCCTCGACAAAGCCCAATGCCTCTTGTAGCATCGGCCAGAACCGCTTGTCCAAGTGGTAGCACCGCTCCTAGTGCAAGGCCACACACCAGCCGCGCCGCAGCCTGCAGTAGCCAGCTGGCTCCCAATGACGGCGTTACCGCGGTCGTTATACTCCAGAAAAAGCACGCCGACAAGAGAAGATCACGACACCCAAAGTACGGTAATAGAGCGGCCCACACATGCCCAGAAACAGCTTTGGATAATTGTTGGCACATGGCCAGTATGCCTAATCTCATGGGAGAGAAGCCGAAATCTTCTTCGAACGCATTAAACGAGCTCAAAAACATCGCTTCGTCGGCCGCGTCGACCACAAAGACCGCTGCCACCAGCGTCTCGGCGGATACTAACAACATCTTGGAGTTTATTTGGAGGGGGACTACCTAAAATAATATCGTTGCATTTTCTCCTACAACAAACAACAGTAATTCATTCACATGATGAGGGATATGTCTAGCGTAGTTGATCCCTCCGCGCTGAATACACCGTGATGATGGTTGCATTGCCGCCATCCATTACAGATATCAAGATATTTTACACGTAGACCAAAAACGAAGCAAATCTTACAACATGCTTATTTTTTCTCTTTCCTGTCGTTTACTCTTGGAGGGATACTCCATGCCTCGGGAAACTTCAATCGGAATACACAGACCTCTAACTGACACACTGCTTACAACAAAAAGCGCAGAGATCAAAGACCGAATCACTGACCTTCAACCGAACTTCCCAGCTTACCGCGCACCAACAGAAATAATATTTTCTACGATTGATTCTTCCTGGTGCAGTGGTCAACGCAAAGTTGCCCGAACATAAAAGAAATCCACTACAAGAAGCAGGGCACGCACCCATGGAGCGAAGGTTAAAAATGGCAGCCCAGTCGAGTCCGCGTGTTTGATTCGCTGAGGCTGAGTGGCAAGAAAAAGAAATATCCAGAATATTCGAATTTTGAAGCAGCGTAGACAAAGTCAAGGGGTTCGCATAGTAGCAGCGCATACGGCCTCGTTGTATTAAGTAAGAGCGCGGGCGCAGTGCCTTGTCGTTTAAGATTAGGGGTAGGGCAATATTATCTAAAAGAACTCATATTCCTGCTTGTTGAACAATGTATTGGGTTAAAGACTAAAAATTCACATGCAGCGCAAAATGATGGAACACGTATATACTAGCTAGAGGGCACCCATGGGCGGCTAAAATAATGGGAAGATCACAAAAACAAGACACATTTGTTTTTTTAGGAAGCAGTGAGTTTTCATCACAGGAGCATCGATATTTACAAAAAAACAAGCGGGTAAAGGAGGAATGATTGTTATGGATCGACTATCTTGTTTTGGTAAAACACGGATATGGAGGTCAACCACCGCTGATTAAACACCTGCTTCGTCAATACGGAACCACATTTTGCTGTCAAAAATGTTGACATTTTATCTGGATGGCCTCGAAGAACTAACAACAGATATCAAGCACTCCGAAGATTCAGCGGCCCCTTTGACTGCCTAGGTCGAAAAGGTGATCGACGAGCCAGAAAAACAGCGCGATCGCGTGTCGCACTTGAAGCCTCGGCGGCAAAGGAAGTGCCCCAGCCGGTTGGTACTGCCATAAAGCGTGCTGCGGCAGCGGTCGGAGGACATCGACTCGCGGAGCCTCTGTCTTCGGAGTTTGCGGCGATTGTTGCTGGACATCCTCTCCCACCTCGTGTCTACTCCTGTCCTCCTGTCGAGCCTGCGTTTCTTGTACTGCGGAACCCGAGCGGCTTGCCGAACTTCCAGCGGCATGCCACAGCTGTGAAGACGCACCTTGAACAGCTGGCGTCGCCGGGGCCGTCCCACTCAGAAGTTTCGTCTTCGCTCTACCCTGTGTCCCGCTGGCCTGACCCAAGTCATCGTCGGCCAGCAGATCGTCTTCCTGGTCTGCCACAACGACTTCTTTCGCCTTGCTCTTCGCTTTGGCCTTAGCCTTACCCTTGGCTTTCGCCTTCGCCTTACTCTTCGCTTTGGCCTTCGCTGCCGATTTGGCTTTTGGTTTAGCACCACGCCCAGCGCGCTGCGCCGGAAGGTCTTGTGCCTGGCTTGCCTGATCCTGGTCCCCTTGCGTGCCAGCTTCGCCCAGTAGAAACGCCTGCGCGGCCTTCCTCGCCGCGTCCCGCCTCTTGTTTTCTGGATCAGACGAAGGGGACGTGGTGGTCTTGTCACTCGACGGAGACTTATTACCGCCCGCGGTGTCGTGGGCCAGGTCTTCGTGAACTACCCAAAGGGTGAGCATCTGGTGCAAACTGCACACCCACTGTATGAGCGCGGTCGGCTGCAGCTCGATAGTTCGACCGAGATGCGGCTTCACGCTCTCAGGCACTGATTCGTGAAACTGTTTGCCTTTGAAGAACGGCTGCCGCAAACTACCTCTGAGGGTTTTACGAGCACCACCGCCGCGCGAGCTCGATGAGGAAATCAGAACCGTCCGCCGCACCTGCAAAAGCTGTGTCAGCGTGGCTGCGTCCGCAACCCGCAGCTGGGCATCAGCAGCAGTGCCAGTGAACAACTTTCGGAGGCCAGCGGGCAACTCCTTGCTCAAATTCACGAGTTTTGTGTCGACGAACTGAAGAAGCGGCAAGTGGCTGGTACCTGTCCCCAACTGCTTCACGAAACTGGAAGAGTTCGTATCGGTGGGCGCGAGGAACCGGCACATCATCTCCATTTTGGAGATGGCATCCAGCAGCTCCGGCAAGCGCCAATGTCCCACTTCGGACTGCAGAGAACGGCTTGCGCAGACAGCTGAATCGAAGAGCTCAAAGTGGCTTTGTTGTTGGTGCTGCTTGTCAACAAGTGTGGTAAATGCAGTCGCTTGCGTAGGATTGCGCTGCACGCCCGAAATGGCGTGACCACCATTCTCTCCTAGTGAAATAGCGCTATCGGATGGAGCTGCGCTCCACTGTTGCAAGTTTTTCCTCGAGGTAGCCATTGTGCGGTCAAATTTTGACGCCAGGCGAAAAACGAGCTCGCACAGGTTTTCCGGAAGGAAGGGCTTGCCAGCGAAATACCGATGGTACAGGATTTCACTAACTGAGTGCAGGTCGAATTGATTCCTCGTAGCTACAGAGTTCCGAAATGCGACAGCGACCGGCAGCACGTCTCGCGTTAGGTCGAGGCGGACGAAGAAACTGGTCAAGCCCATCTGCTCGGATTCGGCAGTGCAGTCTGTGGCGTTCACTGAGGTTGAACAAGCGTATCTCGCCAAGGCATTCACCACATTCATCTTCGTCGCTTTGCTGCCGTGGTGCTTCGTCCTTGTAGACCGCGAGAAAGTTCTTTCCATTTCCGGTGGAAGATCGCCACACGCTTGTACAGTGTTTCGTTCACTCTGCGCTTGCGCTTCTTCTCCTCCCTGCCCTTGTGAAGCTCGACCTTGTTCTCCACGTGTGCCTGCGGAGGCTGTTGCAAGATTCCGCACCCGAGCGCTTGGTCCACCGGACTGCATCAGTTTATTGTGCCACTTCAACAATGCGACTATCATCGTTTCACAGATTCCCTGTGGTTCGCAAACTTGCACCATTTCCAAGGCCTCGACGGAGTCTTTCGCAATGGCTGTGCCGCTTATGCCCACCAGGCACGCAGCCTCTGTGAATGCGGAAAGCAAGCGGCTGAGCTCGGCGTCTTCGGCCGCGGGCGCTTTGCGCACAGAGTCCTTCAAATTCGCCACTGTCATTCCCTTGAACATTTGCGAACTGAATTTGCTGCGGAGCACGTATAGGAGGCGCAGCAGATCCGGAATGCGGAAGGTACTATCCACGAATGCGGAATTACCGGATGACACAAGCAGATCCAGCGTTTTAAATTCAAAGTTTCGGCCAGTGTTTTCAACAACACGAGCCAATTTGCTCTGCCTGCTTCCTGCTGCTGACTTTGCAATAAGCAACGCTCTTCGCAGGACGTGCAGTGTTATGGGCTTCCGGTGCTTCCACAAGGAGCTACTACAACCGAAACTTCTCATACCAGCAGTACTGTTTCCTTCTTGCCCGTGGTTGTGGTTGTGACCCTCTGCTGTAGCATGGCCCTTTACATCTTCCTCTTCGAGCACCTCACGAAGTTTCCGTCGGAACACCGTCGCGGCACTTTCGACCTTCGTTGCGAAAACGATTTTCTGTTGCAAATCCGCAACTATGTTGTCTTGATCTGCCACGATGGGTGTGATGTCCTCGTGTGCAACGCGATCCTGCCAGAAAAAGCGCCCGAACGGGTGCGCAAGTAGCTGCGGTGCCTCTCGCAGGCTCAACTCAACCGGCTTCTGCAGGTCTCCTCCACCGAGCGGCGGCGGCTGATCCCCGGAAAACTTAAGTGGCTTGCCAAAAACGCTCATAGCCTGGTTTTTCGCGGACGAGAACCTTTCCTGGTGGTAGATCTGCTGGCGACAGTGCGGGCATGGTTTCTGGCCCTGATTTGTTGTAAACTGCCGGTGCGCGCAGGCACGGCAAATGTAATGCTTGCAGTGTGAGAAAACGACGGCATCATTTGGGTTAATAACTTGCTCTAGGCAAATGCTGCACTCACCCGAGAAAAGCGTCCGCGGTTCGTCACGACACGTGCTCGCACCCGGAAGCTCCAACGCCGTGGCAAGCGTGCGAAATGCTGTGTGAAAAAGGTGAAGGAGGAAGTAGCAGCAGTCAGGGGGGGATAAATGTAGACTCGTCTGCGCAAGCGCCTCAATTTTGGTGCGCACGTGGAAGTGCGCCTCTCGAAGGTCGTGCGTCTCCCGGCAGTACACTTCTCTGCTGCGCAGCGCATCGATGATATCGAGGATCTTCTTCGCGACATCACTGTCAATGCGACTATTCAAGGAGTCCGCTGAATCGAATACTTTCATTTTCGCTATGGTCACGCTGTCGTCGACTCCATTATTGGCGTTGCTCCTTCGTCCATCGCGCTTCGGTGTTGCACCACTGCTTCTCCCACAAGAGAGGTTCGACGTCACGACCCCGCTCCAGAGGCCAAGCAGCACATCAGCCTTCGCGTCGTTACCTGCTTTTTCTGCCGGCCTCAAGTTCTCGCGCGCCAGCGTGATCTCGACAGCAGAAAAAAAGAGCTCGAGGTACGCAGCTAGACGATCTAGTTCTGTCGGCGGCGACGCAATACTCCCGCCCGTTCCCCCATCTCCCCCAGTATTACCCGCTGATGCCGCGCCCGCCCGTTTGGTAGATTTCTTTTTCGAAGATGCAGCCGACTTCGCAGCAACACCCGAGGACGTGGTCGTCGGAGCTACGACAAAGAGCGCTCGTCTAACGTGATCTTGTGGGCTTCCCAAGCGAGCCAAAGGAAATTTGGTGTCGCGGGGAACCTCACGCACCGCGAGCCCGAGACTCGATTTCCAATTCTCCGCGACGCGCTTCGATCTGCCCTCCATATCTTCGGCTTCGTATTCAAGTGTCGCGGCAACAGTCGCTAACCGCTGCGTCAAATTCAACCCGACGCGCGCTTTGGGGGGCTCTTTTTCAGTGCGCCATTCGTCCAGTAGTTTGCAATCCGGATCGATGAACTCTGATAGTGAGATGGAACCCTCGCCAGAGAGACCTAGCGGTGCATACTTTTTCAAGTCGTGTTCAGATGCGGCAACACCGTCAAAAAGGTACGTACCAAAAAGGCGGCAGGCAGTCTCACACGCCTCGAGTCCATACCGTGTAAAAAGAGAGCGAATAAAGAACGACCGAATGCTGGGAACGAGCCTCTTACAGTGATTCTCGAAAACGCTTTTGCCGATCAGCGATTGCTTATACTTCCGCTGCGATGCCTTGGAAGACGCAGCTGATGGCGAGGACGCTGATGATTGACCTGTCACAGTACTGGTTGGAGCAGCACTGCAAAGAAAGGCGCCCCAGAGTTGTGTAAGTTCGGTCTGCAGTTCAGGCAATCGGCAGTAGTGTGCGAGTTCGGCCGCATAGTCAAGGGCCAGACGGACGTGAGCCAGACTTCGGGCGACAAGCACATGGTCGATGTAATTGCCCGCCTCCCTACTGATCATGCGTGCTCCACCTGGAATGTGTGCTTCTGCGTACCGCTCCAGCCCACTCTTTAAAAGTGCCTGCGAAAAGCGCAAAACGAAGCGAAAGGCTGATTTGTACTTTCTAAGCGTGTTCTCGGAGTCCTCGTCAAGCTCGTCGCCTTGGTCAGTCACTCCGGTCCTCGTATCGTTGTCTCCTTCAGCTTCTTCTGCATCTTTGATAAGCGAGTCTTTGGGTGCGTACGAGATTAGCGCAACGATCGCCGCAAATACGTTGTCGTCTGCAGTGGACACTCTGTGACGGTCCATTTCCACCTGCTGATGAGACAGCGACTCGAAAAGCTCTTTCGCGAGCAGCTCCTCCCTGCCCTTCTTTTCTACTTTGTTCCTCTGCGATGACGATGATCTTGCCGTGGACATTCCCGTGGATTTTGCAGCTGTAGCTGCGCCGATCAAGTCATTAATTAGAACTGAGAGAGATCCATCTTCAGCAGCATCTTGGGCCCCCTTTTCCCTTTCAGCACTGGGCCAAGATACCTGTGAAGATGCATTTCTTGTAGCCTTAAATTAAAGACAATTGATAATGAGGTGAAAAGTTGGTCGTGGACAGTTATTTGACTTGAAGAAGAGCACCGCAAGTTTGGAATGGTTGTTTTGAGGGTTCCTACTTCGGGAGCGCTAGCTGAAGAAGAAGATGAAGCCTGGACTAGTGTAGATGAAGATGGACCGCCTACCACGAAAAGGCCATCCTCGCGTAGTTTGCGCCTCTTTTGTTCGAGAGGTGGCAAACTAGCGCCGGGGATCCTGTTAGCGTTAGGCCGCTTCTTCGTCTTCTTGCGGTAATCGGACCCCTCGAGGAACTCGGCCCAGTCGCTGCTGCTGTCCAGCGCAATTTCTACAAACGCCACTGTTGCAGTCGGATCCGCATCGCAAGCCTGCAGAAGCTTTGACACCAACGCCCCGCGGAGCCCGCTGATGCTGTCAGCGGTCGGAAAGACGCACTGTAAGCGCTTGCCGGCAACGATCTCGGCTAGAGCGTTGTACACCTCAATGTCTGCTGCTTCACTGCTCTCGAGGACATGGCTGATAATCACCTGGACGAACAAACTTCGCGCTGTTGCAGTATGGTCGCTTATGGTTTCGGATGCAGCAAAAACCCCCGAAGACGCTGAATTTCTACGAGGCCTTCCCTCTGATACGACATCATCGCCGCTTTTCGTTCTACAACGTCTCTGCTGCGATTGCGAGGCGGCATCCACCATCTCGACGTCATCGTCGTCCAAGTTAACGACTTGGGAGGTTTCCTTTGCGCTGCAAGGGCTACCTGCTGCCTCCCCAGAAAGCGGCGCCTTGGCATCTACGTTGCAGCAAAAATTTACTAGGTCTGACAGAAAGTCCTCCAAGCATCGAAACCCCTGCAGCGTGCGCACGTTAGCTATGTCCGCCACCTTGCTAAACACATGAGGATTCAAGCAGATCTTGATCCTAGTTTGCTGCCGCATTGACGCACTTGCTTCTTTACTGGCGCCACGCTTCTTCCCGCGCCGGGACGCTACACTAGAGGCTGCAGGAGAGGCTGTGCGGGTGGTGCCACTGCCCTTCGCAGTTGTCGTAGAGTAAGCAGCCGCGTCCGAGCCCGCGACTACATGTTTCTGAGCCGTTAGCAAACCGTTCAGAAAAAGACCGCCTGTCTGCCCAATGTGCTCCAGTACGGTTCCGGATAGTTCCACATCCACGAAAGAGCCAGTGATGCGCGGAAGGATTTCCACTTCAACAAACATAGCAAGCAGCGCTTCGTAGATGCGTACGGACTCCACCCTGCTGCAACATAACATTCGGAGCGCCGCGGCCTCCTGCGCAAGGTCATCAAAAGCATTGCTTTCCTCCTCATCTATAACACCGTCATCGTCAATCATTTTTACATCGTCGACGATTCCTAGACCAAGGCTCTCTGGAAGCACACGCGGGTCCTTGTGATGTTCCTCCGAAGATGAAAATGGAACTGATGATGCGCTTTTGCGGTCTTTCTGCGTGAGCAGAATGCGGTCTGCGTACTCACGAACAGACGTGAAGAAGCTACCGTGCGCCACCAAGTCGAGTTCAGCGAATGACTTTACGGACGCAAGCATCGCGTCTCGATCTCCTGTTCCCACGGGCAGTCTACCGAAATTCAGGGCGGGTCCTTCATTAGACACGCCTCGCGACGCTGGAGCTGCCGCAAGTCGACGTCCTGTAGCGCTCCTTCTCATCTCCTGCTGCAGCGAAATACTGAGGCCTTGTTCGTTGTTCTGCTGCGCGGCCGAATCATGCTTCGCCTCTTTGTTTTCGTCGTCTCGTCCCAACAAGCACAGCTGGAAGACTCTTTGCGCATGCGCAAGTAACTCATTTAGAACCAGAAACGGGAGTTGATCGAAGTCGAGCGGCTTCTCCGTCCACGTCGTCTTCAGATTCGTGAGTATGCACTTGTCATAGAACGCCGCAGAAGCGCCGCACGAGGACAAAAGCGACGAGCCCTCTGCAATAAGACGCACACCCTCGATCGCGTGTTCCAGTGCAGAAAACTTATGAATGTTGTATAGCCTGTGTACGCGCGCTGCTGCGAAGAGGGAGTCTTCGTCGTCTGCGGAGAACTGGTGTCCTCGTGAACTGCGAGCAGCCTGTGCAAGCGCCTCTCCGAGAAAAGCTATGGCAGCGCTCGTATTCGCGTGCTCTTCTACTTGAAAGCCGGTCGTCGAGTCGCCGAATGACGAAGTCATGAGTTGGCGTACGAGGTCAGTACAATAAGAAGCCAGGGCTTCTACAGATGGCTTTCTCTTCGGCAGCTTCTTCGTGCTGTCGCTTTCGTCGCCTGGTCGAACGGCAAGTACATCTCCTTCCTCCAGAGGTGCTTTCTTTTCCTCGTCGTCGCGGTTGCAAAAAACCGCACGCAGCAGTGTGTTCTTGTGTACAGCATGCGCAAAATCGTCGTCGTTGGCGTGCTGACGAGCACAGCTCTCCAATTCTCTGTAAATATGCGGAAAAAACGGCAGTTCGCAAGCGGCGTAACTGCCTCCGGGTGCGTCGTTTCCAATATCCTCCGGTCTCTCCGGCGTCGGCAGCAGCTTCAGAATCCGCAACCACTGCGCGGGGTCTTCATCTAGCAGATCCAAAGTGCAGCCTTGGTCAACGTTTGCCAACACCGATGCGAACGCCTTTGCCACTTCTTCATGGAAAGTACGCACGCACGCCTCGCGGAACGTTCCCTCCCGGATCGGATTTGCCGCAACGACATCCACCCAATTCAGCGTTGGCTGCGCCTTTGCGGGAGCCTCAGCACGGGGAGCTGCGTCAAGAGCCGCCGCCACTTGCCGGAAGAGGTAAAACACTATCTCCCTTTTGAGTTTTGCTTCGGAAGGTCTTGCTAAATTGTCGTGGTTGTCAACTTTTTTGTCAAGGCGCTTCAGATCCTCGAGCAGTCGCAGCAACACCTTTACGCGGGCCTCCTGCCGCCCTGCCGGGGCACGCTCACAGTCGTCATTACAACTAGTGATGCGAGAACATGCATCCCAAACAGTGTTGCGTAACAACGCGCACATGAGGGACCCCCGCTTCGTCCACAGCAAGCGATCGTCCGAGCGTATGCTCTCTCGTGAGGTGGTGGCTTCAGTTGCCCCCGACGCTGAAGCGCTCTCACCTCCGAACAGTTTTCCATTCTGGTGGTCGCCTTGCACCTCCATCCCGTCATAGTCGTCGTCATGGAGCATCTGTGTCATGAAACCGGGTCCACCTGTCTGCTCTTGCGAAAAATCGTTCACCAACACATAACTGTCGAATGCCTGCGACTCCTCGGGCAGCAGACCGTTGCTAGATCGTCCTTGGCAGGCCACGTCGCTATTCTTGCGACTCCTGGCACGCATCTTCCCGCTTTCGGCGCGCTCCTCCGCAATTGGCAAGAAAGAGCCACTAGCACTACCTGTGGCATCCAACAATGCGCAGTGACGCAGCACAACCGAAAGGGTGCCCAATCTGCGCAACTCTAGAGTAGATCGCGGAAGGTAGGGCACGTGCGTACTCTCGGCTCCGGAAAGGTCATCGACATGATGGCAACGCCAGCCCGAAGGCTGGCCAACGAACTCCGCAAGGGAAGAGGCTACTACAGGCAGTTGAACGACGAACACAACCGACGTTATCTCGTCTTGAGTTTCAGGATCAGCAAGATCCAACGTTCCGCGTGTACCTGCGTTTTTTCCTCCCGTGAGCACTGCGTTCCGGACAATGTAGCGTGAACACTCGATCACGCTGTTGTAGTTCCCACGAACGTTGGACGAGGACGCACCGTCTTCTTGCAACGCGTCACTGCTTTGCACGATGAGGACTCGGCGTCGAGGCGGGCGCTGTCCATTGCCACAAACCGCAGAAAGTCGTGTTGCGGGAGTTTTCATAAACACTTTTACTGCACTCTCGAGATTCGATTCCGACTGAATCTCGTTCAGACTGAGTAGCGAGCAACTGCGCGCTTCGACGTGCATGCCTTCCGCAATACGATCTAAATCCAGCTGTGACAGCAAACGAGCAAATGTCGTAATCTGAACGAAGTCTACGGACGACTTGCATTTGGCTTTCGTAGCGCTGACTATCTCCAACCTCGTGCTTTTCTCGTCCGTCGCGACGAGGATGGGCACGAGATCACGCGCTTCGGCATCGAAGTAGCTGCTCAGGTCCTCCTCGTCCTGCGGTGCCCCCACATTCAGGGATAGCTGTTCATCTTCTCCTGCCTTTATCGCCGAGTAGCGCAAAATCGCTTCTGGAGTTGCGGTGTGAAGCAGCAGTTGCCGGGCTCGGACAAACAGATTGGAGGCTTTCTCGGTCGCAGCCTTCGCCACGAGGAGGAAGCAGGTCTCGTCGTCAAACCCGACAAAAGAGTTGTAGAAAGCGTGCGTCTCCCGTTCGACACAGACAGATGAAGCCTCGCCCGATCCGACTGCGACTGTGTCAACCTTCTCTTTTCCAATTTGTATGTCAACGTCATCGTCCTCCCCGAGCAAGCGTTCTTTCTGCATAGCGTTACTGGACGACGAACTCGACGGTGCAGTCGACTTGCCAGCGTTTCTCGTAGAACTGATTCCGCCCTTTTCCCCGTCTCCAGACGCAGAGGTGCTTGCACTCTTTACATTCAATATTGTCTCCTCGTCTTCGCTCGCGACGCCTGCAATCAGCTTTCCGAACCCGACCGCCCAGTCGCGAACCTGTAACGCCGCTTCTTTTTCCGTGTCGCTCCGCAATGCCAGCTCCATGCTCACCTCATGCTTTTCCAGGCGATTGATCAGCGGCACGGGGAAGTCGCGTAGAATTTCTTCTTTAGTTGCGACGATCACCAGTCGAGCGTCGCTGTGCACGCGACACTTGAAGCGGTTCGTCCCAAGGCCCAGGTCCACGTATTTGTTTCCGCCACAACACGTATAGTACTGATTCAACGCGTCGTAAATGCTCTCGTAGATCATCCCCAGGTTCACGAGCACGCATACCACGCCCTTCTCGAGACAGAGCTTCACGCGGTTGATGGCGCGGCAGATGTTCGTGTACTCGTGATCGTTAGCAAAGGAACTGCCGAAGAGGATTTCGTAGTTCTTGTTGCCGTTGCAGTCAAGAATGTGGGACTCCTGCAGCACGTCCAGACTTGCGAACCCCTTGCGAGCAACGATCAGCGGATAGCGCACCGGGTCAGCACCGTCCGGGTCGCTGTGTTGGAGATTGTCGAGAAGCATGTCCAGAACCTTCACGCTGCACTTGTGCTCAGTATGCCCGACAGCGGCAGGAGCGGATGGGCTGTTGCCGCCATTAGCGCTCGAGAGCAGTCTTTCGGAGACCGCAGCCGCAGCAACTCCTGTGAGAGGAACGTTGTGAATCCAATTTATCATCGGCTTCTGTAAGTACTAGCGTCGAAGCGTAAGCAGACAGTCAGAGCATCAGACAACTATGAAGAGAATTGAAATTCTTCTATTCTGAAAAACCTTTAGTAACAACATGCCATTTATCACTAGAGAGATGTAACTGTAATCTACCGTGTCCAATCAACGGATACTACCGAGGAGAAAAATTCTGTCTTACCTCCAGCGAAGCACTTTGCTGCCTCCAGCGTGTCGATGACTTCGTGGGCCACGTCGTCCACGCCGAACAGGTTCCGGTGGAACAACTTAACAGCGTCGATGGTCGACATTCCACAAGTGGTGAAATTTCGCTTGATGCAGTAGCTCAACACCACCACACATCGATTTACGTCCACGTCGCTGGCCGTGAGTGCGGTTCCTGCAAGTGCATTACCCTGCCGAAGGACATTTTGGGCTGCCCCGCGTTTCCCAGTTCCAGTTCCAACTTTCCGCTGCCTGTACGAGTCAACTGCTGAAGAAATGGCGTTCACACTCCACTTTCGCTTCCCCACCTCAGCCCCAATCATCTTCAGGAGGCAATAGAAGTCGCGCAGGCCGTGGATCTCCGGTTGTCCCTGTTTCTTGTACACTTCACTATAGGTCGTCACAATCTTTTCCAGCATTCTGTCGTTGGCATTCACGCCGAGAATCTTTGCTCCCGTCTCCTGCAGCTCCGCTTCGTCCGGCTCGTCGCGGGAAACTAAAATGCCACGATTCATCTTCGCCGGATCCAGCGACCAATTGGAAATGCCGTAAAAGCCCACCTTGTAGTAGTCCTCCACGTTGTCAAAAGACCCGTCTGGCGAACAGCCGGTTTCGAGCAGCGGATGCAGCGTTTTCAGCGCCATGGTGTCGCTGAACTCCGCAAGGCCGACCTCATCGAGTACCGCGACCGCCACCGAATCGGACAACTCCTTTCCTCTCTGCCGTCGAGCGCAGTCGCGGAACACCTTCAGAATGCCCTCAGACGTGGACAGCGGCGAGCACTGGTAGGAGACCTGGACACACTGCTTCAATGTACGGAATAACACTGACTGCGAAGATTTCCCCTTCATGGCGTCATCGACAAGGGAACGCGCCAGTGACTTGCTTGTGCCGGGCTTGCCCACGATGAAGAGCGGGATGCGAAGCTCGGCGCAAATCGTCATCAGAAACACGTTCTCGCTTAGCGCTGTGTTCTGCGCGATGTTCTTGTTGGTGTCGAGGCTGCTGCTGAGGAAGAGTTCGCTCATGAAGACGCCCATCACCTTTGTCAGGGTGGTCTCGAAGATCAAACATCTGAATTCGCCACCATCAAGCTTCCCACTCTGCGCGAGCTTCTCGACCAATTTCAAGAAAGCTCTACGACTCAAAGGAGCCAGTGCGAGATAGTAGCACACGCCAAGGGCGCAGACCAGCGCTATGCGAAGCTGTTGCCGACCCCTGTCGGTCTTGCTGAGTCCTTGCGTCAGCACGAGATCACCAAGCGCTTTGGATTCGAGCTGGTGGGAGAAGAAATCGAAGACGTGCAGAAAGCGCTCAACGTCGCGCAACGACACGAAGGACTTCTCGGTCTTTGAGCTTTTCATAAAATTCTGGCACTTGCGGAGAATAGTTGTGAAATCCTTCGTCAATCGCCTGGTGTCAATGGCGTCACATAGCCAGGCAGGCTGGCTGTCTGAATCGCGTGCTTCCCCATCGCTTGCACCGGCTACTATAGCGAGCCGCGACGGATTGACTCCCCCCTCCTCCACGGAATCACGCTGGCTGGCATCGGCATTGCGTTGTGCCTGGTTTTTCCCCAAACCCTTTTGGTTTTGCGGCTGACGAACGGCATGCGCCTGCGGCGGTTCCCAAGCTGCTTCGTGGTCCCCCAAGGCCAAAATCCTGTCTAGCTCTTGAGGTTTATGTACATGCTTTCGCTTTCGCTCGCATCCTTCTTTGACGATTTTCTCCAGCCCACGCTCGACCAGTAGCCGAATGTAACTTGCCTCACTCTCCTCCGACAGTGAACCGAAGTCATAAATATGCACGCGCAGCGACGGTGGCAACGGATGCACCCGGTAGACCAAATGTCGGATCGGTATATTGTTCGTACTGGACGAAGACCCTGCTTCCTTGGCTCCTTCCGTGTCTGTTGAGTGGTGATACCCCAAGCCGCTCTTGGCCATGCGCGCGATCAGTTCCGCTGAGTGACGTCGATAGGGGTTGCAGGCAATCGCCACTTTCAGACCGAATTCCTTCATTGCGTGCACCTCTCTCCCGCCAAACGTCCCATCGCACATCAGCTCCTGGCAAAGCCACAGCGCGGCGTAGCTTGTGTTGCACTCGTCAAAAAAGAGGACTGTAGTTTTGATATTTTTGTCCTCAAAGTTTTGCTTCGCCATGCGGCTTCCTTCGATTACAGCCTGCTCGACGTCAGCAATGTCCGTTCCACCATGAACTTTCACAACCTTGATGTTGGTTTGCACGTCTTCATCTTCTGCCTCTGCGTCGCCGACCCCCAGCGCAATCAGCTGCTGCCGCTGCTGCCGCACCGTGATTCTGTACAGAGCCGCGCACAATTTCGCGTAGTACACCACAAGTCTCGTCTTGCCGATGCCAGTTTCCCCGAACAGGCAAACCGGATTGCCGCAAAAGAACCGCACGTGCATCGCCAGCAACTTCTGGCAGTTGTCCACCGTGAGCTCGAAGCTCGGGTCGGGGTCGTCGGCGTCCCGAAACTCAGAAATGAATTCGTGAAGGTCCGAAGGACTCAGAACGGGCAGTAGCTTTTTGATTTTATCTAACTTCGAGTGCTTGGCGAAGTCTTCGCGCAGATTGACCTGCTGCGCACGCAAAGCGTTGAAAAGCTCCAACGGAATGATATTTCGTTCGATAACCTTCCCTCTGCGCGGATCGACAAGGTGGCCAGTCCGGTCATCAATCGAGAAACCAAGGAAGGTAAGCGAATGGCCGTCAGTGTTGAAAAAGAGATAGGGGTGCGAGGAGTCCTCCCACTTGCGGCGAAGGTTGTTCTCCTCGCCCACCCCACCGCTACCGCCTGCGGCCATGCTCTCGTCGGACTGTCCGAGACTCGGCGTGGCGAAATCGCGGCTCATCTGTACCATGAAGCGAACTACGAACGGACGGAAGCCGCTCAAGCCATCCTCGACGTCGGTGGCGGCAGCCCCAGTGAACGTGCTTTTGTCACACAGTCGGATCTGTTGCTCCAAAAAATTGACAAAAGTGGTCAACTGTGCCCAAGTTGGATCCTCCACGCCGCAGTGCTTCACAATCCGCTGGAGAATCAGCACCTGCTTGCGCATCGTCATCAAGCGGTCACCAGCACCGACGCTGCTCTCTTCTGGTACGTCGAGCGTGACCAAGTCCACATAGCCGTCATAGTCGTACTCGCTGTCGTCGTCCGCAAAACCATCTTCAGTGCCTCCCGCGTTGTCCTGGGCGCATCCACCAGCATCCGGGCTGCTTACTGCTCCTGCCTCAATCGGGTAAGCCCCTGCAACTTCCTGGCAGAATCGCTTTGACCGAGGACGCCAGTGAAACGCATCTTCGTTGCCCTGCCCTTGCACCGCAATTACTTCCTGTCGTACAAACTCTGCTTTCATGTCGACCTCATCAAAAGCCTCACCGAGATTGTTGCTGAGGGCCCACTCGAAGAGCGGCTCCACGCTGTTGTCTCGCCATCTACGGTTGTCCCTATCGCTGTGCCAATACGCGTACTTCTGCGCCGATCCTTCTTCCTGGCCCCTGTTGGCTCCACTGCCACCAGCGTGCTGCTGAGCCGCTCCCGCCACACCTTCATCAGCTGCTGCAGACAAACGATTTCTTTTGCGTTCCTTCTCGTCTCTCGCGTGGCTCGCCAGTGCCTCCGCGATGTAGTGGAACTTCGGATCGTCGGTCAAACCGGCGGCTTGGATCTGCCACGGAGGAGGTGTCTGATTGCAGGGAGGGACACTTTTTTCTATTTCTTCTACGCACATTTCGGTAAGTAGTTCACGGAGGAGCTCCATCGGCGACAGCAGATCCTGGCGCGGCAAGTATGTAGCAAACGACTGTAGCTTGCTACCCGTGCCGCTGCTGCAGTTGTCGTGGTGCTGCGCAATGGCTAAACTAGGTCTACTGGAACGCTCGCTCACAAGCACTTTTTTCACCATCGCGAAGTCATCCACTCTATCTTCCTCTTCCCCTTCGTCGTCCTCATCCTCGATTCGCTCCACATAGCGGAGGCCACCGCTACCTTCCTCTTTCTCGCCGCGCACCTCGCGGCGTACGCGCTCGAAATCCAGCACCAGTCTGTTGCTGGTCTCCAGAAAGCAGTGTTCCTCCGGACCCACACGCCACACGCTGCCGTCCTTCGTCTCCAGGACACGGAGCACGACCAGCTTGAACAAAATGTCGGAGAGGTTCTTAAAGGCAACCCCGGCGGGCAAAACCAAATGAATCGCCAACGATATGCCGTTTACGGAAGGCGATCCTACGCCGACGCCAGTTTTGTCCGCTCCGGTTTCGGAAGAGAGTGAAGCGCGCTGCGAAATGTTGGCTGCAGACCGGTCGTGGCCAAGCCCATCTTGAGTATGGTCCTCGCCACTGCTTTCTTCGATGAGGCGTCGGCAGAGCGCGTCTTCATCGATCACTTCCCGAAACAAAACGACTTTAACCTTCTTCAACTGACACGGCGCCCTTGAAACAACGGCAGACGGACCTAGCTGTGCACGATCCGCATGCCATTTTTTGATCTTCTTCTTGCGCTCCTCCTGAAGCCTGCATATGGTGCGATCGATGAACCAGGTTTTGCCTCCCCCGGCGTCGACCGATGTGACGAGCTTGAAAAATTGCGCGGTCGGGCGTAGAAAGTTCCGCATCTGTTGTGCTGGCAGCAGCTCGGGTGTGGAGATTTTCTGTTCGGCAAAGGCCGAAAACAAGTGCGACTTCCGCGAAGCTTCCTCCGCACAGAAAAGCAGAAGCCGGCTCTGGGTCGAGAAACTTGTCATGCTCTTCCCGAAGGCTGCAGCGTTATGTAGACAACTCGATGAAGAACACGCCAATTCGCGTCCTGTCTCCCGCTCCCGCGCAGACGATTCGGTTGAGTCGCCGCACTCAGCCGCAGGATCGCCCCTAAGCAAGAAGCCGCTGCTACTCATACCGATTCCGGTGGTGCTATCAGAGGAGCCGAAAAGCCCACTGACCGTGTTGCCTCCGTCTTCTTCCAACGTTCTCGGCAAAGCGAAATCTTCTCTTTCACGAAGCCGCGCTTCTGCGACGTAGACCGCGTACGCTTCCACGGCCACGTGGTACTGTAACTTCTCGGCTCCCACTAGAAAGAAGTACTTCGTCGCCTGCACTCCTTCGCGCTCGCTAAATGTGCCACGGCTTGCTGTCCCCTCTGTGCCATCAGCTTTGCCATCCGTGCCTGCAGCGCCCGTGCCCGCTTCGCGGTGGTGTTTCTTATCAGGCTCAGCTTCCTCAGGGAGCAGTCTCTCCTTTTTCGCACGCCTCTTCTTATTCTCTGCCACGCCGGCCCACGGGAGACCGCCCAACAAACCTGAGCTCGCACTGCTCGGGGGCCCGGAAGCGCTCCCACCTTGGTTTGTGCTGCCAACGGCACCAGACGCTTTTTTGTTCGAAGCTCCGCCCTGGTGTGCCCTGACTTTTACAGCGGCTGGTGCACCGGCAGCGTTGCTTCCAACAACAAAATGGCGCCGTGCCTTCTCCAGTGCGCCCCGAGGACGGCATAATGCCCGTTTGATAAAAAGGCGAATCTCCTCAACCGTCGTGTCCACAGAGCAGAAAAGCACATCGTCGCGCGACGGCAGTTCGCCGACGCATTTTGCGATCGAAAGCACGTAGTCAAGCTGCATCCCGGTTAACAAAGACGACACACCGTGTACGTGCGGCGCCACTACAGGTACCGCGCTATCCCCATCAACTTGATCCAGGTTCGTCTCATTGTCTCCTTGTAGCACGCGAATCGTAGATGTTGACGCCATTTGCTTCAGACTTTTCTTCGCAGCAGTGCTGCTAGCGGTCTTGCTTGTTGCTACAAGTGACGATGCAATAGTGCCACGCGCTGCTGTTGGCTCGAAAGAACGCAAGTACGAAAGTGTATCGGCGCTTGGCACCATCGCGGCCGTATTCATCGGTACGGCAAACCGCCTCGACGATGAGTGTACCAAAATCCCGCCATGGGATTCAAGAAACCGGTCGTCGCGCTTCGTCAACAACTCTCCCAGCAGCCGAAGATGCACGCCGCCCTGCATCTCGCCGCTCACCGCGATCTGATTCACTGCTCCACCGATAAAAAGCACTTTTTCTGCGCGCCAGGTGTCTTCGAAGGTGTCTGCTAGGCCAGCGAAGAGGGACGAGATTTGCGTGCCGAGAGAAAGCGCCGAGGCTGACGTAGCTGCATGGCCATTTGACGCGAGCAGCTGTTGCCCTACCGCTGCTCCCACGTTCGCCGCCCCAAGCAGGTTCTTGAAGTGGAACTGTGGCACACGCATCCTTTTCCCTGCCTTCGCCGCCAAGTGCTTGCTAAAGCTCGCCCAAGCACAGCTACCTCGCTGTAAAAGTGTCGCACACGTATGCCGTTCCTGCTCTTTGCCAACCCACAGGCCTTCAACCACATTCTCGCTCCAGCCACAGAGGGCAAGCCGAGCAACAAACTTTGTTTCGTCTTCTTCCTGATCGTCATGTTGGCCGCTGGCTTGTTGGTCCTGTTGGGGTCCCCGAGTCGCCAACAAAAGAGCCTGGGCGACATGGTCATCCAGCATCTTTTCGACGTGCTCTTTTCCTTGGCTCGATGCGGAGACCACGTTGCTAAACACCGAAAACTTCTTTTCGCCGCTGTTGTGGACAGCCCCGGTCAGGTAAGCGACGTCGCGCTTCCAAATCTGGTGCTGCGTCTCAATGAAGTGTCGAAGTGCGTGAATCATCCACGGCGGAAACGCGCTGTGACGAGCTCCGAGTTCTTGAGACGCGGCTGCTGCGGACTCATCAGGTCCACTTTCGCTTTCCGAGTCGGATAATTCGATCGGCCCGCTAGCCACCGCCACCCCTCCAGCGCCTTCTTCTGCGAACATCTTGAAAGGCTCCAAACGTTTTTCCAATTCGCTCACGTTCGGCACCGCCATTCCGTAATCCGTGAGTTCTTCGTCTTTCAACGCGCTCACCAGATGCACCAAAGCAAGCAGCTTCTGCAGGTTCACCAGCTGAACGTTCGTGTACCGATTCAATATCGGAAACTCCTGCCGAGCGTCATCCACCGCGTCTCGCGCCCGCGCCACAACTTTTTCCGTTAACGCACTCGTTAGAAAACCGAGGCAGGCGGATAAGTCAAAATGATCTTGCTCAACTCCTCCGGAAGAGCTCCCGAGTCCGAGTGTGGGCGTCTCACTTCTGCGCTCATGGCGCAGTCGAATTTCATGGCCATAAAGCTGCAAGGAAATACGTAGCTCGTTCACGCGTGGGTCGATCGCGATGACGAGCCTCGAAAAAAGAGGCAATTTTTTTTCAGCGATCTGTTGCAGCACTTCATTCAGCTCCACCAGGTGTTTGAAAATCGCACAAAAGTGGTCGATGTCTGCGGTTTTGCGCTCCGTCGAAATCAACATCAGCTTGTCATTCAAGTCTTTCAGCTGCGGAAGGGAATACTCGTTGCTTACGATACCGGTTTGCCCTTCCTCCTGGCCGTCCAAGGACGGTCCAGGCAACCCTGCAGCAGAACCCGCCCCAGATACATTTCCAGTAGTACTCCTGTCTGTGCTAACGAGCATGCCCAGATACTCTGTGCGCTCGGATTTTGGCATCAATGCAATTTTGATGCGGTCGACAT